CTAGCCTGGACAACAAAGTGAGACTGTCTCAAAAATAAAATAAAATAAATAAAAAGTTAGGCCGTGCACAGTGGCTTGCACCTGTAATCCCAACATTTTGAGAGGCTGATGTGGAAGGATTTCTTGAGGCCAGAAGTTCAAAACCAGCTTGGGCAACAATAGTGAGACCCTGTCTCTAAAAAAAAAAAAACAAAAAAACAAAAAAACAAACAAAACAAAAGGCCGGGCGCTGCTGGCTCACGCCTGTAATCCTAGCTCTTGGGAGGCCGAGGCGGGCGATTGCTCAAGGTCAGGAGTTCAAAACCAGCCTGAGCAAGAGCGAGACCCCGTCCTACTATAAATAGAAAGAAATTAATTGGCCAACTGAATATATAATATAAAAAAATTAGCCGGGCATGGTGGCGCATGCCTGTAGTCCCAGCTACCCAGGAGGCTGAGCAGAAGGATCACTGGAGCCCCAGAGTTTTGAGGTTGCTGTGAGCTAGGCTGACGCCACGGCACTCACTCTAGCCTGGGCAAGAAAGCGAGACTCTGTCAAAAAAAAAAAAAAAAAAAAAAAAATTAGTGGGGCATGGTAGCACATGACTGTAGTCCCAGCTACTAGGGAGGCTGAGACGGAAGGATCACTTGAGCCCAGGAGTTCATGGCTGCAGTGAACTATAATTGCACCATTGTACTCCAGCCCTCCTGGGCGAAAGACTGAGACCATAACTGTAAAAACAAAACAACAACAATAAAAAAACGAGCAAATATGGATAATGTACTAACTTTATGTTAATAAGTAAAAATATAAATGAAATGGATATTTCCAAGGAATTATAAATTGTTGGGCCGGGCGCGGTGGGTCACACCTGTAATCCTAGCACTCTGGGAGGCCGAAGCGGGCAGATTGCTCAAGGTCAGGAGTTCGAAACCAGCCTGAGCAAGAGCGAGACCCTGTCTCTACTATAAATAGAAAGAAATTAATTCGCCAACTACTATATATAGAAAAATTAGCCGGGCATGGTGGTGCATGCCTGTAGTCCCAGCTACTTGGGAGGCTGAGGCAGTAGGATTGCTTGAGCCCAGGAGATTGAGGTTGCTGTGAGCTAGGCTGACACCACGGCACTCACTCTAGCCTGGGCAACAGAGTGAGACTCTGTCTCAAAAAAGAAAAAAAAAAATTGTTAAAAACCCCACAAAGTTATTAAAAACTGAATAAAAGATCTTAAAAATATACAATCAAAACATCTTGTTTAAAAAGGTACCAGGCCCACATTTCCTGGAGTTCTCCCAAGGGCTCAATGGACAGATATTGGCAATATTATTTAGATCACAGAAAAACACGGAGACTTTCTGAAGCACTCTGCCAGGCAGTCTGATACCAAACCAGGCAAGGTGCACAAACATAAACAAACAAAACAATTTAATTTATCAAGTGAAATCCAGCAGTGAACCAAAATAATAAATTACAATACATTATAGGAACACAGATATGGTTAAGTTATTTGAAAATTTTAAAGTAATTTAGACTTTCTTATGTTAAAAAAACTGTAGGAAGACAGTATCTTAGTTTTAATGCAAGCTACAATAATATTTAATAGAAATGCTCTAACCTTTCATTGCAAAATAAAGCAAGGAACAATGCCATTATCACAACTTTCTTGGCAGTCCTAACCAGTGCAATAGGAAAAGAATAAAAATTAAGAGGCACAGATATTGGCAAAGAGAAAAGCTCCTGTGTGGATGTCATGACTGTTATTTAGAAAATCATGTTATTTAGAAAATCAAAGTGAATCAATTAAAACTATTAGAATAACTATTAAAAGAATTCAGTAAGAAGACTGGCTATAAGACAAAAAATCATAAGCATTCTTATACAGACAATATACCTATTAGAAAATGCAATGGAAAAGATCGTGTTCAAAATCAAGCAAAATTGCAAAATACCAAGCAATAAACTTGGCAAAAAAATGTAAGATTTATACAAATGAAACGATATAGATTTGCTGAAATACAAAAAAGAATCAGAATAACAAAAAGACATACCAAATCCTTGGAGGGGAAGACATCACTTTTCCCTAAAGTGAAAATTAAAAATCCCAGAGGATTTTAATATAGAACTTGATAAATTCAGATTTGTCTAAAAAATTAAAAATGCTCAGAAAGTGTCAGAAAATTTTGAGAATGGGGAAATTTGCAACTGTCAACACACATAATGAAAACTACAGTAATCAAAAACATACGGCGGGCGCTGTGGCTCACGCCTGTAATCCTAGCTCTTGGAGAGCGAGGCGGGCGGATTGCTCAAGGTCAGGAGTTCAAAACAGCCTGAGCAAGAGCGAGACCCGTCTCTACTATAAATAGAAAGAAATTATTGGCCAACTGATATATATATAAAAATTAGCCGGCATGGTGGCACATGCCTGTAGTCCAGCTACGTGGGAGGCTGAGGCAGAGGATGCTGAGCCCAGGAGTTTGAGTTTGCTGTGAGCTAGGCTGACGCCACGGCACTCACTCTAGCCTGGTAAAAAAGCGAGACTCTGTCTCAAAAAAAAAAAAAAAAAAAACAATACGACACAGAAACATACAAGAGGATCGAAGGAACAAAACAAATTCCAGATATATACACTTACATATGCACATACATACAGACATATGCACACAGGTTAGATTTCCAATTAGTGGAGAAAGGTGAGTTCATTTAATAAAAAATAATGTCGCAATTAACTGTTCATTTGCCAAAAAAACGAATGCCTAACATTTATCTGAATAATATATGCAAAATTGTTCATACCTAACAATCAGGACATGCAAATTAAGATAACTTTGTTGATCTGGCCGGGCGCAGTGGCTGACGCCTGTAATCCTAGCACTCTGGGAGGCTGGGGTGGGAGGATCGCTCAAGGTCAGGAGTTCGAAACCAGTCTGAGCAAGAGCAAGACCCCATCTTTACTAAAAAAATAGAAAGAAATTAATTGGCCAACTAAAAATATATAGAAAAAAATTAGCCAGGCATGGCGGTACATGCCTGCAGTCCCAGCTACTCTGGAGGCTGAGGCAGGAGGATCACTTGAGCCCAGGAATTTGAGGTTACTGTGAACTAGGCTGACGCCACGGCACTCATTCTAGATGGAAAACAAAGTGAGATTCTGTCTCCAAAAAAAAAAATGGTTAACAATGAGAAGTGAATATAATACGTTGCTTTTAAGGGTGTGAGGAAAATTGACCCTTTTCATGCAGGTGGTGGGAATATATGTCTTTGGAGCCAGCTTGACATGATATACCAAATAAGCATGACCTTTGACATAAAAAACTCACTTCTGGGAATCTATTCTACTTAGAAATATACCCTGCAGTACTATCTGCAACTGCAAGAACTGTTACATAATTGAGTAATGGTTACAGCAATTCTCACAGATTTGTACTGTTTGTTAAAAACGGTAGCAGATGTGTTCATATAGAAAAACTTGCAAGACATTAAATGAAAAATGAAATCAAACTCCAGAATAATGTAATCCCATCCCATCCCACTGTGTGCACACACGTTTTTATGGCATAGGGAAATGTCATAAAGCTGCGCTTCCGAGCTCTGTCCTGCCACCGGCCCCTGCCCCCTGCCTCCTGTCTGTGGAAAAATTAACAATTTGTCAACTATGAAACTTAGGAAAATGGGGAGGCAGAGGAGGACACAAGAGGTGAGCCACTGAAACTCAGGAACCCGAGGGCTGCTCAGGTGAGCGGCCAGTGTAATTAGGGTGTCTACAGCCGCTCGACACGGCCTGAGCTGCGACCCACCCTTGGAAAAATTCTCTTACATGAAATGGGTTCCTGGTGCCAAAAAGGTTGGGGATCACTGTCTTAAAGGACACCTACCACTGTGTCAGTCGTGGGGAGGGGAATGTAAATGTGGCAGGTGGGGAGGAGAGAAATGGCAAGGGTGAAGTTCACTTTTTGAATTGCTCACTTTGTATTTAAATTGTTAAAAGTACATATTTATTTTTATTAAAAATTATCTCCAAAGTTTTGTCATTTAACAAGAAAAAAGACTGGTTTGGACTAAAATTGGGGCTACTAGTGTCTTCACTTCTGTTTTGTCCTAAACATTGCCAAGAGCTTCATTTTTTTATCCATTTTATCCATATTCAGCTTCTTCGTAAGACTTTATTTGAACAAGAGTCGCACGATACACTAGAACACATCTTAAGTCCTTTTGAGCACTAACAACCTATACAAGAGTCTATAAATTAGTTATATCCCTGTATAACCAGTGGGCAGGAATATTTTAGTCTTGGCGAGGCTTCTTTCCTGTTGTACTCATAAACGGTCATGCAAATTCAGGAAGACAAATTAGTTTCAATATTAATAATATACAAGTAAGAAAATGTATTGTGGAAAGAAGTATAGGCATGAAACATTAAGTGACAAAAAGCTAAAAAATACTTGGTGATTTTGGAAATTTGCTTTCACCCCCCCTGCCACCTGCTAAGTCATACTCTAGTTCTCGGGGCTGTGTATAGAACTGTTTATGACCATTGCTGGCTGGATTTCAAAAATGTTGACGTGTTCATGATATATACGCTGATGATACATAAAGTCTAAAAATGAAGAATATTTGGATAGATTTTGATCTCACCAAGTAATCTTATCCATAATGACCAGTCCAATTGCTACTGTACTGCAGAACAATCATGCATAAATTGTAGTTTCAAGAGACTAAAGTTAGCACACTCCAACAAAGTTGTTTTTTTATATAGTAGTTACTTTTACTGTTTAATATTCCAGTACTTCTTGGAAAGTCCCTCAAGTTTTTTTTTAGACAGAGTCTCACTCAGTCACCCCAGGGGGTTGAAGTGCAGTGGTGTGATCATAGTTCACAACAATTTCAAATTCCTTGGCTCAAACCATCCTTCTGCCTCAGCTTCCCCAGTAGCTGGGACTATAGGCTCAAGCTACAACACGCAGCTAATTTTTCTCTTTTTAGTAGAGATAGGGTCTCACTCTTGCTCAGGCTGGTCTTGAACTCCTCAGCTCAAGTGATCCTCCTGCCTTGGCCTCCCAAAGGATTACAGGAGTGAGCCACCTTGCCAGGCCCCTCAAGTTTATTTCAATTTCCCCAGCTCTATCTCACTCCAAATTGTCTTTTGTATAATGTTTAACGTGCTTACATTATTAAAAGATAAAGGTCTCAAGTCCAACCTGCAATGGCAAGAGTTGTATGTCACTGTCTTTTTATCTACTTGTAAAAATGACTGAACACACTTTCTAGATGAATAATTAAACAACACATATTCCTTTTCCTTTCATTGCCATTTTAATAGAAAAGGATTATCTCCTTTATTACAAAATACATTTCATGTTGATTTTGCAATGGAAAATTTAAAAACACTATCTTTATAAAAAGCGTGTCAAAAATCAAATTCCAGATGAAGCAAAGACATGAAAACAGGACAGTTCTAGTAAGAAGTCTGAATAAAAGTATTTTTTTGGGGAAAAGGAAAGATATCTCAAAATGACATAAACCCAGAAGCAACAAAGATAAAAGACTAGTAAGTCTGACTGCATAAAATTAAAAACTTTCATATGGCAAAAACAGAAACACCCCAATAAATCTAAAGGCTAACAACAAACTGGAAAAACATATCTGTAAGACCTACTAAAGACAAAGGGCTCTTTAATTTACAAAGAACTCATATATAAGAAAAAGATAATTCATAATAAAAATTTAAAAATTGGGAGAAAACTAAAGAAGATAAAATGTATGAAAATATGCCAAATATCATTCATAATTAAGGAAATGCATACCAACAATAAGATACCATTTTCCTTACCCATGAGATAGCAACAATCAAAATGCTTGACGCCCCAAGCTGGGAAGGGTGGAAGAAAATATGCCGTCTAACCACCGTGGATGCGAACACAATTACCTCCAACTGTATTGAGGCAATTTGACCACACCCATCAAAATTAAAATGTACAAACTCCAGCAATCTGACAGGTAGAAATTTACCCCATGGGTATACTTGTTCAACAACATAGATTATACTTAAGGACAGTGCAGAATAGTGGGTAACTGTAAAAAACTGAAAACAGCCTAAGTGTCTATCAACAGAGAACTGTTTAATTATGGCGCATCCAGAAAAAGAAATGCAATACAGCCATTAAAAAAATGAGGTAGATCTACATGTATGTACTGATATGGAAAGGTCTTCCATGTATACTAGTAAAAAAAATACATACTTTTATAAAAAGATACAAAGTTAAAAAAAAGAGAAGAAGGTATCCAACAGTGCATTAATGAGGGGAAAAAAGTGCATTAGGGTATATTGCAATTCTTTGCTTTTCCACAGGAATTATAAAAACTGTTAACTGTGATTACCTTTAATTAAACGAATTACCTTTAGATAAACGAATAAAGGGTAGGGAAAGGGGTGGAAGACTTTTCATTTTGTACCATTCTGTACTGTTCACATTTCTAGCCCTAAACATGTAACATTATTTATTTTGGTAGGGATTAAATGGGTGGATAGAATATAACTAATTCATTGTTTTCTTTGTATCTATTTTAAAAAAACACAATTTTCTTTTTTGCACACATATACATGCATACAAAGATGGTAAACCAAAACATACAAAATTAAAAAAATACACAGACATACATAAAAATACACACACTGAAATTAAGCACAGGGGCAAGCCTCCCCTTTCCATATCAGACACTTACTATCCTAATGTACAATATACATAGTTAACATTACCCAAAGATCTCAAAGCCCTTCATTAACATTCATTCAACTCCTGGAAGTTTCTATTTCATATGGTGATATAAGACTATGCATACAAAGTGTCAGTGAGTCCAGGAAGACATTCCAAGTGTCTTATCTGAATAACGTTCTGACCACTACTTGATCTGTTTGTCTCAGCACTGCCTCAGTTAGGTTTCAGAGGCTGGTCTTCGAATCAGGTCACCAAAATAAGCAGTGATTGTCTTCAATTTGTTGTTAAGAAAGTTCTGTTCTATTTCCACTTGCCCTCCAGGCCCAGCTAAGGATGCCACCTAAAAAGATGGACAGAAGAAAAAGCCACACATACATAAGCATGATTTCAAAACAATTCTTTCATTCATATTACTCTATCAAATAATACAAAGACTCTAGCTTTTTATTAAGTCCTTTGAAAAACAAGGCATCTCAAATGTTCACTGTTACTTCCCAGGTAAGTAAGAATGCAATCTTTGGTGGCAGGAATACTTGCTGTTTCGGACTCTTTAGATATTATGGCTAAGCCCATGGTGCACTGCTGTTGTATAGGACTTGATCTCTCAGAGAAAATGAACAAATCCTCCCCAAATATCAGGTTTATTTATTAACATAGACATTTAAAGCCTTTCCTGAAAGCTTTTGTCTATTTTGCCTTATTGCCTGTCCCTCACCCTCTCGTTCATTCGACAGTACCTACTGAGTCCCTGCTGCAAGGCACTAGGAGCACCACAGAGCAGACAGCTCCGATCCAGGCTGTGATCCCCTTTCTCGTGACTCTATTTCTACTAATGACTTTCCTTCTCCAATTGGTCTCTTTTGCTGTCCCCACAACTTGGACCACCTCCTCTACCCATTGCTATGTTGTGTATTTGAAATCCTTTCCACAAAAGTTGTGGTAAAATATTTTGCTCTTTTTGGGTCTATTAGAATATAGTGACCAACCTCTTTTATTAGGAAGCTGAAAGCACTATCCCTGCACACCTCTACAGTGAATATCAAAAGGATGCCAATCAAATGAACAGACAACAGGGGCAGGCAGCTGCTCAAGATTCTTTTGCTCTGTGACAGTAATGCTTGTGCTCACCTTTGTCACACTGCAAATTAGCAATGTTTTACCCTAAGTTCTTGTACAGGTAAGGTTTTATTTTAGTTCATTTTTTCCCCTTCATTCAATCTCTTAGAGATGCATTAACTACCAAATGTATTACCTTCTAACACATGATGACTTCACCAGAGATGAGTTTATCAGGGCAGCAGTAAGAAAGATTAAGAGAAAGGGGAATATGGTGGAGATCCCAGGCAATCAGAAAACAGAAGACACTGAGTGACAGAGAAAGGGACACCTCAAGTATGAGGTACAAACAACAGGAGACATGTATCTTCTGTAACTGTAATCAGCAAAATTGCAGTTGTGTATTTTGTAAAGAGAGTTGCTCAATCAGTCTGGTTTGGTTTCAAGGGCTGAGACAATCTCATCTCAGTAGTGTTCTACATACTACACCAGTGTCTGGTATCTGGTAGAAGGGAAGCTTTATTGTGCATTACCGACGAATACGTATTTTAAAGTATTTCAACTTCCTTTTAGAACAAAAAGTCACAGAACAAAAACGGGGAAGGAACAACAGGTACATTATTAAAAGAAAAAAAAAGGAGGTGTTCTACCAAGGCAGTGATAACATCACCAATCCTTGCCCTCACTCCTAAAGGGACATAAAAGAGCTGGGTATGTTTTTATCAATAGGAATAGATAAAATAAAAGTCAAATACAATATCCCTTATGTGATTAAAAAACACACACATTCCACTATTTGTTCATAAGGATTAAAGTTAAACTAGAAATTTAAAAATAACCCAAGTAGTCTCATAGTAGCAATTATTAGGAATAATTGCTTTATATTCTATTTTGGTATCTTTATATCAGTCTGATTTTTTTTTTTAACAAGGAAAGGCAAAATGAGGAATTTGGTCTTTAGCCAATTAAAGCCATTTTGACTAGCATATCTAAAATACCACTTTTTCACAATTTTTTTTCTGTGAGTTAAAATCTAACTGAAGTATAGCATTTCTCATGCTCCTTTTAACAAGCAATTTATTTAAAGAACATAAGATTAGCAAGCTGAAGTTTTTTTTGAGAGGTGGGGTTGTGGGGCGAGAGAGGAAGAGAAAAGAATAGAGGAAAAAACAGGTTGGGTTTAGAGAACCAATGCAGAGCTGAACTAGCAAAACATCTGCTAGGATACGTCTAGCAGAAGAAAAAAGGAGCAAAGTCAGAAGCAAATTTCAACCCCAGTTCTACCAATAATTTGCCATATCAATTTAGAAAGTCATTAAAATAGGCTTTGGCCTTGTAGATCTGAAAAGTAGGAGCACTGTCTATCTCAGATTCTAAAAAGGGTATTTTGAGAAAAATGAAAAACAATTTCTGAAATTTACTTGAAAAAATTAAAGGTGCAATAAAAATAGATGGTTATCATTTCTTACATAAGCCATAAAAAGAATTACATAAAAACCAACTTCTAAGAAGACAGGGTAGTTTCTTTTCCTTCTCTCTATACGTTTTAGAGGGTTGTCTGGATGTGGGTGTTTTGGGTAAGAAAATGGAGTGAAGATGGGAATTTTCTCAGAAATCAGAAGAGTTCTAAAAGAGTTCATGAATTACTTAACGATTTACTGAGAGCCTACAGGCTTCTATTCTAGGCAGTGGAGAGTAGCAAAAAACAAACAAACAAAAGTCTCTGCCTTCATGAATTTTACATTCTAGCTAGGAGAGTCAGATGATAAACAAAACAAGTATTGTTTCTGATACTGGAAAAAGGGTGAATCTATGTGACAAAATATTATTAATAAGAAATGGTGATTAGAAAGAAAATCTTAAAAACTTAAGATGTTACTTTCAACTGTTCTGATTAAAAATAGTTTCTAATCTTAGCCTTTTTGTACTTTTTCCATATTTTCACAACTATATAGATTTTAAAGGTTAGAATTTCAGAGTTGGAAAGATTGTAAATATATGTAGTTCAATCGAATAAATAATACTTTGCTTCAAGCAAACAATGCCATCAATGCCTGCTGCCCTTATTTTTCACTAGCAGGTTTAACTGACAAATGTTATTTGGTTCCTTCCTCTTTCTTAAAGTTTAATAAATTGATGGGGGGTAGAGGAAAAGAGAAAGAATGGCAGGTAGAAATAAATAAGAAAATGAATTTAAAGTAAAAAGGTACTAAATGAGAGAAAATAACTTTCAAATGGGATCCTATTGGAAGAATACATAATACTAATGACAGAAACATTTTGTCACAAGAAAGATGCAGAAAAATTAGAGCACTGCAAAAAAGAAAAAAGTCCCATTACATTAGAGAAGAGATTATATCTGCAATATGTAAAAACTTGGTTAGAAGCCAATTATAGTAGGTCAAAATGAACTGTATCTTATGGGACCCACAGATTTGTCAAACACAATGCCAGGAGCAGCAAGCATCTGAAATACTGGCAGTAATTAGAAACCTAACATGAAGCAGGTCAGGTTAAGTTCCTTACCTACTAGTTCTTTTTGATCCCATTTTTGTTTATTATATCCAACTAATAACTACACAAAAATAAAAGTAAGTTGGATAAAAACATTTCTAATGAATAGTTCTCTGGGAGGTAAAACCAAAAGATATTTTTTAATCTATCAGTGGAAAACCAGGCCTCATTCAAACTTACAGATATTCATTAAATTACTTCAATTTGTATGCATATAGTTCACAGAAATGAGATTTCTATGCTTAATAAATCTTAAAGCCACCATCATCAACATGAGTACATTGGTGACAGGTCAAAAAAATTCTCCCAGATATCAAAAGTTAACTCATACTGGTCTCCTAAGAGGAAGCTACCAATAACCAATTCTCTCAGCTTTATCCCTTCCCAGTTCTCAGAACTGGATTCTGGAAACATGAAGACTGTTCTTCAATTCAGCAAGTTACATAAAGCACAACAGAAGAGAGGGTCAGGTAAAGTGGCAACTCACACGGGACCAGTAGGTCACACTACGAGTGGCACACAAAAGCCGGTATCCCTCTATTATCTATCTCCATCATTTACTGATAAAATTTACTCACAGTAGTGAAGGGAACATAAGCTTATGTTCAGAAGTACCTCAGCAAAATTGCATTTGTGTTTTCCCAACATGACTAGGGGGGCAGTCAGTTCCACAGCCCCTCTGGAGAATGATAAGGTATGCGGCTGCAGAACAAACAATTCCACTCTAGCTGTCTAGCAGCAAACTTCCCAAGAGAAAAACTAGCTAATAAATATCAGGAACTGATGATCATATGTTTATCCTGAATTGTAATGCATGATTAAGCAGTGATTTCAGTAAGAACAGAGTTGGTCTAGAAACCTGGGTTCTAGTTACTAGAAGACATAAAAATATCCCTGGCAGGTAAAGCTCAGCAACAAATACCTTCCATTTGGTGATAATTTTTAGCTCTCTGTTGTCTTTATCATTGGACAGGAATGGAGCAGAACTGATTCAGTGGAAATTCTTTTATAATTCCCTTTGCTTCTCCTGTTACCTCCAACTCTATTCACTGCTCCCAATCTCATGGTGACTTAATAGTATGATAAGTGATGAATCTGTTCTTAGCAATGAACATCGTGTCAGTGGGAGGAATATACTTTTTTTTTTCTTGAGACAGAGTCTCACTCTGTTGCCAGGACTAGAGTGCCATGGCGTCAGCCTAGCTCACAGCAACCTCAAACACCTGGGCTCAAGCAATCCTTCTGCCTCAGCCTCCTGAGTAGCTGGGACTACAGGCATGCGCCACCATGCCTGGCTAATTTTTGCTATATATTTTCAGCTGGCCAATTAATTTCTTTCTATTTTTTCAGTAGAGAAGGAATCTTGCTCTTGCTCAGGCTGGTTTCGAACTCCTGACCTTGAGCAATCCTCCTGCCTCAGCCTCCCAGAGTGCTAGGATTACAGGCATGAGCCACCGCAACTGGCCATGCATGTACTTTTGAGTGCTCTGACTTGTAAAGGCTGGCTATTTTCAGGTAAGCAATTTTAGAGTCTGCTATTTCTACATGTACTAGAAGCCCTATGTAGTTCTTAGCCCTCTTTGTATTCTCTCATGCTTCTGGTTCCTAAACCTGGACTAAGGTCTTCCACCTGTTGGAATAATTTTATAATACTTACATGGATATAGTTAGATCAGATTTCCACTATAACAATTTAATTGAAAACAATTTGACATAACTTTTAAAAATAAATTCTAATATTTAGAAACCATTAAGGCCCCAATTTCTCATTTATTAAATAAACAGACACTAGAATCACTTAGAACTAGTATTTGCAATGTAATCAATGGTAAATTTATATTGTATTCAGCCAAAACCACTAAAAATGTTAAGAACTGAATGAATTTAGTTATATTTAAAATATTTTTCACATAATGGTATTACCTAATAGTTATTCATATTTATAGTTTCAGTTATTTAAATGCTTGCAACTCTAGTCTTTTGTAAGTCTTTTAGAAATGTTACCCATAAATAAGTCCTTCATTCCCATCTACCAATCTACCTAGCTACTTCCCAACCAAATAAACTATTAGAAGGGTGATGACTGCTACAATTAGGAACGTTTCCCTTCCTAGACATCATGAAATGAAATATAAAAAGAAAATGAGAGCCTCAAGAACTCTGCCAAGTAGAAAAAGACAGATCTCATGATTAAATCTAACATCAATTTCTATACTTAAGTTATAACCTAAACAATCATTTGGTTTCACCTAAGTATTAAGTTAATTTGTAAATACTTTCCCCTTTCTGAGGAAATAAAATAGAATTTGGCCTGTTAGCATATGTGTCTGGGGAAGCCATTGAAGGGTGAAGTATGTCTGCTAGACAAGGGACAGGATTAAATGCTCCAGTTGCTTTTTAACACAATTCTTAGGGATGTTGCTCAATGTTGCTCTACACTCTGTACTAGTATGACCATATTATAGAGACAATGATTTAAATTAATTTGACCTGAAAAATACAAATGCTATCACTTTTCTGAAGCTAGACATTTTTTTATGTCTAGTTATGAAATAGATATAAAGGATAAGGAGTTGCCCTATCAAACGGACCATGAGGTACTCCGCCTATCATTTCTGTGCCTGGTTAAGAGATAAGACTCCCCCATACACACAGGGATTTCACACAGTGGTGGCATTTGATAATCGTGGTGTGCAGCTTCCTCTGGGAGACACTAACTGTTCTAGTCTGCTCAAATACGTCTACCCATGTTGAATAAGTTTACTACTTCAAAGAGAAGCTTTTTGTGTCTGCAAGGCATGATAGATCCAAAGCTAGTATTGGCTAGAATTCTATTGCTATCAAAAGGAAAAAATAAAATGGAGAAAAACGGTGGCTCACACCTGTAATCCTAGCACTCTGGGAGGCCGAGGCAGGTGGATTGCTCGAGGTTAGGAGTTCGAAACCAGCCTGAGCAAAAGCGAGACCCCGTCTCTACTAAAAATAGAAAGAAATTAATTGGCCAACTAATATATATGTCTTTAGTTCCAGCTACCTGGGAGGCTGAGGCAGGAGGATTGCTTGAGCCCAGGAGTTTGAGGTTACTGTGAGCTAGGCTGATGCCACAGCACTCTCTGTAGCTTGGGCAACAAAGCAAGACTCTGCCTCAAAAAATAAAATAAAATAAAATAAATGAAGAAAAACAAAGTAAGATATAGGCGTCAAGTAGATAAAATACATTTATCTTGGGCTCTCTGAACCAGATTTAAGATTAGCCCCGGGGTTTCAACTGTCATCTCAGAGAATGAGAAACACTTTACCCCCAAAGAGCATCTCACAAAAAGATTTTCCTAAATTATTCAGTTCTTGGATTTGATAGTGAGAGTTTGGATAGTAAGGAATACATGTCCTGGAATAACCTTCAAGCAGAAAAAGGGAATAGGAGATCAAGGTAATAGAGGACATAGAAAAATATTTCACTGGCTACAGAAAATAATTAGCGTCCTCTCCTACAGAAAGATTTTAACATAAGTTATATTTGTATTGAGTCCATACTGTTTAGGATAATATAAATATCATCCAGAGTACAATCTCCCTGGATGAGAAATTAACTGTCCTTTACAGACATTTATATGGCAAAAATGCAGCCTAAGTTTCAAAGAGCAGACTCATACACTTTGGGAACTGAACTCATTTGTAAATTCAGGTTGTTGTGACATTCTAAATGTTCCTCAACAACAACAAAAAAAACTCAGCTTATTATGATAGCTTTGTGATTCTCTCAATGTTGTACTACTGTCTCCTCTCATAAAAAAAATTCTACATACAGGCTGGGTGCAGTGGCTCACGCCTATAATCCTAACACTCTGGGAGGCCAAGGCAGGAGGATAGCTCAAGGTCAGGAGTTCGAAACCAGCCTGAGCAAGAGCGAGATCCCGTCTCTACTAAAAACAGAAAGAAATTAATTAGACAACTAAAAATATATAGAAAAAATTAGCTGGCATGGTGGCATATGCCTTTAGTCCCAGCTACTCGGGAGGCTGAGGCAGGAGGATTTCTTGAGCCCAAGAGTTTGAGGTTGCTATGAGCTAGGCTGACACCACGGCACTCTAGTCCAGGCAACAGAGCAAACAAAACAAAACAAAAAAACAAAAAAAATCCTACATACAGATAAATTTTCATCTAAAAAAAGAAAAAGTTCTGGGAGGCCGAGGCAGGTGGATTGCTCAAGGTCAGGAGTTTGAAACCAGCCTGAGCAAGAGCGAGAACCCGTCTCTACTATAAATAGAAAGAAATTAGTTGGCCAACTAATACATATAGAAAAAATTAGCTGCGCATGTTGGTGCATGCCTGTAGTCCCAGTGACTCAGAAGGCTGAGGCAGGAGGACTGCTTGAGCCCAGGAGTTTGAGGTTGCTGTGAACCAGGCTGACGCCACGGCACTCACTCTAGCCTGGGCAACAAAGTGAGACTCTGTCTCAAAACAAAACAAAACAAAAAAAACAAAAAAAAGAAAAAGTTGATTACCTATTATAATTTGATCTAAATTTAATACCAAACAAAATAATATACTTGAAAGCTCATTAGCTTCCTTTCAGGCTTTCATTATTTGTTAATGTTATTACTCCCTTTAGAGGCAGAAAATACAAATGATCTACCAACCCTAATTCTGGCAGGTTTTTTGAAGTTAACTTTTTCTTTGTGAAATTGTTAATTTAACTAGAAAAAAATTTAATCAGCGTAACTTTTATGCTAAATAGTGAATTTCCTATTTTTATTCAAGCACCCAAATGAGCCTATTTATATTTAATAAGGATCCCGATACATCCTGGTAAAGATCATATATAATCTCTTATGAGATTAGCTATCGAGCATAATATTCATATGAGAAAAATAAGAATTATGGAGTCAGTGAGCTCAACCTCATCTGGCAGTCTAGAAAGCAGCTGAGTCATATGAATAGCAGATTTACATTTAACAGTGTATTATGAAAAACTCATGAAGCAAAGGGATAGTGACTTTTTCTTCTATTAATAGTTGGTACAATACATACTATTTTGGGAGGCCTAAATGTTCAGACACAATGGATCATAAATAGATGACAAACAGCAAGATCTAATTCCATCACCTTCTAATTCAGAGTAAGAGCTCAGGCTTGTTCATTTCATTTATTCTTTTAACCCAAAGAATTTCAACTCTGGAGCACATTATAATCACTCAGGAAGCTTTAACAATTATCCTTGGGCTTTATCCCAGAAAATAAACCAGACAGAATCTTTCCCAGTGGACCAGTGTATCAGTAGTTTCACACACCTACTCAGCTATAACTATAAAACTCTAAGATATGACACTGAAAGCACAGGTAACGCCAAGAAAAAAATAGATAAATTGGACTTCATAATAGAACCTGAGTTGGAAGACTAAATCAAGGTAATCTAGAAGAAAAAGGAAATAACAAAACATAGATATAGAAAACTACCATTCTTATAATAGATGTGGGGGGGGGGAGATGGTGAGGAGAACACAGTTGAACAAATAATGGAGATAAATTCTCCTGAATAAAAAAAGATGAAAAATCTCAGAATAATAGGGCTGGTTCTCAGAGTATGAAACAAGAGAGAAAGGAAAAACCCACAATCAGCAACATTATAGTGAAATTCAGATTGTGAAACATGAAAGATTTTTAATAGAGTACGTGGCACAAAGCAGATACATAGTAAGTTTTTATAGAAAAATCAACCAAAGCATGAAATAAAGATATATATCATCAAACCTTTATGAGGCAGTTATTATATCAGATCCAATTCTACTAGGCAATCCCCCCCCTCCCCCAAAAAAACAGTGATTAAAGGTTTATGGTAAGAACTGAAAAAGAATATTTGAACGTTAGTCAAGTGTTCTATTCTCCAAGACTATAGCTAAAATTAGTTCCTGGCCAAATTGGGGTATTATTTGTCTTTGTATTTCTGTATTTAGGCTACTATTTTCAGGAATACCTAAGACCTCTATCTTCTAGGTAGGTTAAAGTAAGGCAGATCTTGGCTAGTTTAGCTATGGGTATTTGAAGTATAACACATTAAATTGTTCTTTCAATACATCTTAGTCAAAGCCTAGAGTGCTCTATTTGTGTCTATTCCTTTCAATACATCTTAGTCAAAGCCTAGAGTGCTCTATTTGTGTCTATGCACGCCAGGAGCTGCAGAGATGAAGAGGATGTAATACACATGGATCTAACTGTCAGGCACTTCCAGTTTTCTAATAATAATCACAAGCCAGGAATTCTCATAAATACATTCTCTGGCAAGGAAATGTCCTGGATCTGTTTCTGCCCATTCTTTGTAGCAACTAAGACAGAGGCTCACAGAAGTTACTCAATAATGGCTTACCTGGTCAACATCAGCATTTCTTGGAAGAAAATAAACAATATTATTAGTGATCTTCTGGGAAAGTCTGAAAATTTCAAAGGTGGAGAGTAGTTAAGGAAAAGTAACAAAAATAGCAGCTAATTTCTGATCCAAAAGAGATATTCTTTACTTATCTTAACCCAAATGTATTTCGGTATATAACAAAAAGGCACAAATTAAAATTTCCTAAGGAAACCCAACCAAGAATTACAAGATTTTGTAATTCAGCAATAATTTTCCCCAATAGATCAAAGATTAGAGTTTAAACCTATTTATTCAATTATCTTAGTGGCAAGCAGCCAAGAGCCAGAAATATACACTTTTTCTTTCTGCCATTTCTAAATTATTGAGAAAACAGAGTAGGAAACAGGAAAGCACAACACCACTTCTTTCCAATAAAGAACAAAGACAAGTAACTCTGGCTACTGTAGTCTACATTCTAAATTTTAATTAGCAATTTAGAAACATGTTTCCTCTTAAGAGTCAAATGGGTGATTCTACTGGGGAGTGGCAGGTGAAGAAAGGAACAAATAATACATGTTATTCTTTATGAAATAAGGGGTTGTTTCAGTATCTTGGAAGAGTCACAGGATAAATCTGAAGATATATAGAAAATTAACCTGAGTCAGTATAAGTCGAAGAAAAGTTATGAGATGGTCACCTACACACTTGACTCTAGGGATATAACTTTTGTGGACATTCCCAGTTTTCAGATAATAATTCCAAATAATTTATGCATTTTAGTTGTTTTATAATGGTAAAACTGGATAGTAAACACAAGGGAAATACAACCTCACATTGGCCATTACTTTTGGAGATCAGCTACCACATAATTTTTACAAACCTGTTTTTATATGTCAAATAAACTAGAATCTATCAAATGCTATTAGCTAATCTAACTCCCCTCTTCACTAATTTTTCTCTCTCATACACACACACACCCTTCCTCTCCACACCACTTTTTAAGAAAACTCTTGGGACTTCCAAAGGATATCCATCAGGAGACATCATCGTCCTAATGTCGAAGGTCTCTGCAGTGGCATAGTCTGGCCCTCCCCAAGGTGGGCTGAGGAACACAACATCAGCCTTCAAACAAGAAGCCAGTAGCAGGAAATCTCCACAGATGAACTCTATCTTATCTGCCACACCATAAACTTCTGCATTATTACGAGCAAGATCAATCTTAACAGGATCAATATCAATGGCAATCACTAAAAATGGGAAAAGAAAATAAGTCAATTCATATTGTTACTTATATAGAATAGTTTGTCTTCCCAACAGTCTACTATCTTCTGTATAAAAATCTTTTTCAAAGACTAAGAGAGAATTGGCCACATATATCAGAGATAAAGACCTTAATTAAAATTTTTTATTTAAATTAGAAAGATTCACTTCTATTATACCAAGAAAATGTGACTGAAGGACCTGGCTTTCAAAGTTGTCTCACTCAGACATCTTTACCCAAGCAAGTGGCAATAGCTGCCAAAAAACAGCTACTGAGGGCCAAATACATGGCACAGTCTGAGCAGCAAACACCTGAAAAGGTCTCCAACTACATGTAAAGCCTATAATGCTAGGTTTTAAAAAAGACAAATTTCCTCAAACTGTGGCAATGCCCAAATGAAGACAAATTTGACAACTTCTACAGAAAACCAAAATAAAACACATTTTTTATAAACCTAGATAGCCAAGTTATGAAGAAAAAATGTAAAAATAGCTGCTGCTGATATTTAATGAGACATTTGTAAGGGAACAGACAATATTATGTTTTTGCCAAATGGACTTTCATTTAATTTATTGAAATTTCATAATTACCAATGCAAACAAACTAATTTTAGCTCACTGATGTCTTGCAGTAAATTACTCAATTACTCTTATGTGTACATGTGTGTTAATGGCAATATTCTATATTTGAAAGAGCTAAGTGGAATCTTGATGCATAAGCATAGTTGTCATGGAAATGTAGTTGTTTTTCAGAAAATGCTAGTTTCCAAACTTGTTAACACTTTTCAGAAATAATGCATCCAATCACTTGACCAATGAATACAAGCACCAATTGTAACATTGCAAAATCATGCATGCATGATGATGTTTTTCTTGTTCTAAATGAACTAACATTCACATTTATGAGAAAAAATCCTTTTTAGCTACTTAATCTGCTACATTTATAGTTCACAGACAGATGGAAAGCTATGCTGACAATACCAAAACTTCAAAAGAAAAAATTACTTTCAACATCAAATCTACTCATCTCTATTTCTTTTGGAGGCAGACTTTGTTTTTAGGCCTAATAGGATGTAAGCACTCAGTCTATCACATAAATGAAATGCTGACAAATGTCTGATACTATACAGAACTATGCTGTCTTATAATTGTAGTTGCTAGCCACATGTGGCTATTACGATTAAATTGACTAAATAATATTGGCTGGGCATGGTGGCTCACACCTATAATCCTAGCACTCTTGGAGGCCGAGTCGGGTAGATTGTTTGAGCTCAGGAGTTCGAGACCAGCCTGAACAAGAGTGAGATGACGTTTCTACTAAATATAGGAAGAAGTTAGCTGGTATATATAGAAAACATTAGCCAGGCATGATGGTGCATGCCTGTAGTCCCAGCTACTTGGGAGGCTGAGGCAGGAGGATTGCTTGAGCCCAGCAGTTTGAGGTTGCTGTGAGCCAGGCTCATGCCACGACACTATAGCTTAGGCAACGGAGTGAAACTCTGTCTCAAAAAAAAAAAAAAAAAAAAATATTAAAAATTTAGATCCTCATGTCTATTACCACATTATTTTGACTTTTTAATAGCCACATGTAGCTACTGACTACCACAGGACACTGGACTACATAGAAAGGGGAAAAATATCTTTAACAGAAGCAATATGCAAAACTGCAGATTCCCTAATCATTCAGTTGACTATACGACATAGACAGCAACTATCTGAATGGAAACAAATCTGGCACAAAGGGATAATGTCAATTTTACAGAATGCCATTTTTGTGTGTGTGTATATATGTATATGTACACATACGATTCAAGCATAATTGATTATATACATATGTGTGTATATAAGCACACACACACACATACATTATGGTAGGAAATTTAAAACAGCCAAGTATAATTGATTATGTGTGTCTATGTAAATATGTATGCACAAACATACCAAATTAATTATATTTTCATTGTTTTGAATTCCCTGTCAACTGACCCATGATGGGGGAATACCAAGAGGAGTATAAAAAACTAACATTCATTGGGCACCTGTGAGTTACCACTTGTGGTTTGGGTAGCAGGTTATGGGACACCATTGTCCTGAACATGTTGAAGGGTTCCTTAGCTTCCAGTCTCGCATGTCGCCAGGACAGAAGTCTGGTCATTATAGCACTGGGAAGGCAGTGTTTGCTGTATGCCTCCTTTTTCCTCCCAGGGGCTGGCAATCTATAAGGGTAAGTGATTAAAAGACACTATGGGCATGGGTGCAGTGGCTCGCACCTGTAATCCGAGCACTCTGGGAGGCTGAGGCGGGAGGATTACTTGAGCTCAGGAGTTTGAGATCAGCCTGAGCAAGAGTGAGACTCTATCTCTACTAAAAATAGAAACAAACAAAAAAAATTAGCTGGGTGTTGTGGCTTGCGCCTATAGTTTCAAGAGGCTGAGGCAGGAGGATTGCTTGAGCCCACAGCACTTACTCTAGCCTGGGCAACAAAGTGAGACTCTGTCTCAAAAAAAAGACACTACGGGGCTATGATGGGAGTAGGTCTGTGAGAAAAGGAAGAAGTGGTTGCCCTTTAGCTTGGGACCCACATTAGACATTTTCCTTTACCAAATGTGTACTAAGCTACAGAAAGCCTTGGCAAAAGATCTGTACTTACAGAAATATACAAATCTACAATATGGTCTGTTTGCATAATATTTTGAGAAAAATTTCAGATCTATTTGCTAGTTTATCAGGGGCAGATATTTTATTATTTTTTAAAGTTTTATTTATTTATTTTTATCAGGGGAAATTGTGGAATTGTGACAGTCCCCCCACTACCAAAATTATGCAGTCGAGTTTCCCACACGTGGGGAAATCACAGGGGTCAACATATCTGGAGTGCAATGGATAAGCCTCGCTCTGGGAAGACTACTGTCATGGTCATGGTATCTCCCCCACCAGCTAAGTATCAGAAGGCAGATATTTCAATTGTTGTGTTATGATACAATGCCAAAATGAATTTAACAACTTCTGAGGAAAAATCATTTTTAGGCAAAAACATTGATTTGAACTCATAGGAATGGCTTATCTGGCAAAGTGAGAAAAGGACTTTGAGAGTAAATAGTGAACTCAGGAAAACAAAGTAATTACTATTTCTGTAAATATGAAAATAGCTTTTACCTAGGCTGATAGGAGACCATGCAATGTTAGCAAATGTCATACCTTGGAATGCAGATTAACTGAATAGGGGCCACAGCTCAGCACTGGTCTTAAAATCAATGCTATCATAACGTGGTATCATTTTTAGAATAATTATTTGATAAAGTCAACTTCTCTGACTAGATTAAGCAGGGCCTAGGTTTGTTTTTTCTACAGCATGGTATTATTAATGCCTAACACAGTGCCTGGCAGTACATAGTAGGTGCTCACTAAAATTTGTTTTATAATCAAGATATAATCTACATATAGTGAAACACACACAGTCTTACAAATTTTGACAAATGTGTACACCCATGCAACCAACACCCTAATAAAGATCTATAGCAGCACTGTCCCACTGAAATACAATGTGAGCCATGTAGGTACTTAAAATTTTTCTAGTAGCCTTATTAAAAAAGTGAAAAGAAATAGGTGAAATTAACTTTAATAATATATTTACTTAACCCAATATGTCTAAAATATTATGATGTCAATATGTAATCGATATAAAATTTATGAATGCAGTATTTGACATACTTTTCCTCATCCTAAGTCTTTGAAAACTAGGGTATATTTTATGCTTATGACACATTTCACTTCAGACTAGCCATATTCAAGTATTGCAAAGTGTTGGACAACACAGAACCAGAGCATTTTCATCTCAGAAAATCCCCTCATTTTGTATGCCCCCTTTGAGTCAATTCTCTTTGTCCCCAGACACAACCACTGTTTTCATTACTTATCATCATAGGTTAGATTTACCTGTTCTAGAACTTCAGATAGAGGAACTCTAATAGTAAAGAAAAAAATCAATGTTAAATTTCACCTCATCATTTTCTAGCTCCCATATTATGCTTTCCAGAATCACATTATGCTTTCTGAGTTAATGCTAAGAATTTCATATAGTGAGACTCAGTTGAAATCTATTGAAATGAAAACTATCATTGATATGTATATGAAGATATTGAAAAAAAATGCATCTTTAAAGTATGCCTTCACAATCAATGTCTTTAAAATATCACATTACATTATAGTTTAAAGATAATTTAGAAGCCAGTATGGTGGCTCCTGCCTGTAATCCCAGCACTTCGGGAGGCCAAGGCAGGAGGATCGCTTGAGGCCAGGAGTTCAAGACCAGCCTGGGCAATAATAGTGGGATCTGGTCTCTCCAAAACAGAAAAATTAGCTGGGCATAGTGGCTACATGGCAGGCTGAGGCAGGAGGATCACTTGAGCCTGGAAGTTTGAGGTTGCAGTGAGCTATGACATCACTGCATTCTAGCCTGGGTGACAGAGAGAGACCCTGTCTCAAAAAAGGTTTAGAAAGGACAGGGATATCAGAGTCAGTATGGGCTGAACATTCAATTTCTTAAAACCTTTTTTCCCCCGGGGAAAAGCACATTGCCTAGCTGACACAGTTACTGGTAGATGCATAGCAATGGAGGTTTTCTTTCTTGTGATTCCAAAGTCAAACAGCAATTACATGAAGATGACATATTTATAAGATTTTGAGTCTTTGAATGTTAAAGCTGAAAGGAATCATGAGGTTATCTCAATTCAGTATCTCCTTTAAAGTTAAATGACGTCCAAAGTCATAAAGCTAGTGAGTCAGTGGCAAAGCTGGGACTCCCTGTCTACTCTACTTTTCTTCTAAAGAACAGTCTCCCATTTTAGTATTTTTTGATTCATAGGATGTTGTACTCTTACTTCATCTCTTTATGTCCCAGTTTATCTGTGAAAAGCAGATTAACAAATACTTCACAAGATTGTTGACTAAATTAATTAAAACATATAGTTGACCTCCAACTCTTCATGCAGTCAAATCTTCATATAACTTTTAACTCCCCAAAAAGTTAACTACTAATAGCTTACTGTTGACCCGAAGTCCTACTAATAACATAAACAGTTGATTAAGATGTATTTTATAGGGTTATATATTATATTATATACCACATCCTTAAATCTTAAGGAAGAAAAAATACATTTACAGTATCATACTCTATTTATTGATACTGTAAGTCTACATCATTTGTTTATAAGACAGATCATCTGTCTGAAATAGCTGCTGCAGACCTCAATCTATGATACATATAAAAAAATCCAACTTTTTCTTATAATGTCATGACTTCTCTCTGCTTCTTAGGAACACTTCCAGTATCACTACTGGCACTTCGTATGGGTCCCATGGTGTTATTCAATGTTTATAGTATTGCACTAAACATAATAAAAAATATTCGAGAACCTCTAGAGATCACTTTTCACTGCTATACTCAATTTACTGGAGAGATGAACTGCTCACGTGGAAATAATCAACACCATATGATGTCTTAATCAGATGCTTGCAATATTTGACCTCACCTCAACAGCAAAAGGAGGTAGCTAAGAGATTATTACAGTTTATATTAGTTAATTTTTGATTATTCGCAAGTATGATTTAATATTGCATCTTTATGTTTGTTTACATTTCTCTTGACTATGAATGGCAACATGTATGGTCTGTGTTTGGGTATGTAAGTTTTGATAAAATTAACTTTTTATAATAGATTTGTATGTATTTTATGGTATCTACATATGTTTTATAAATTCATGACATTTCTTTTCTTAATTTTTAAAATATTTGTAGGCTACATGGTTCATTTCTGAGGTTTTTTCAAATTATCACAAATTTCTAGAAAATTTTCCAATATATTTACTGAAAAAAATTTGGGTATAAGTAGAGCCATGTAGTTGTTCAAAGGTCAATTTTATTTAACATTTACTATGATACAAAGTGTATGCCTAACATATGCTAGCTATTATTTTAAATATTGGGTATGAATTATAAGGTATATATTAAATCTCAGCAAAGATAGGCTGTAGCAAAATGAAACATTTGTTGAATGAATTGGAAATAAAATGGTTCTCTTCCATTGATGGTTAATTACCTCTCTTTCCTGTTAAGGCAAATTGAATTGTATTGCCTCCAACTCCACAGAATGCATCTACTACAATGTCACACTTGAAGGACTGACTGACCCGGCCAGCAATGTGTTCAGCAATCTTTTCAGGTGTAACTGAAAACCAGCCTTCTGCAAAGGAAGAGTATTTCTGATAGATAACATGTTCAATTTCAAGAAGCCACGCCAAGCATATACATAGCAAACATTACTATATATTACATACTTTAAAAAATCTTAGTTTCTCTTCATAAAAAAATTATAAATTACCTATTAATAGTTTAAAGAAAAAGTTCTACAAAACTTGCTATAAAAAAAGCTGTACTATTCCCATTCCCAATTTCCACAGAAGCAACTACCTCAATTCTTAACCTGATTCTCTTATAATACTGCATACCCCTGTCTTTCAATAACTGAATTATAACTTCAATTTTTCTATTTGAGGCATTAACTACTGACTATTTACTATGGTAAATGGAAAGCTGCTCCAATTGGCTGGCTCCTCACACTCCACTGAGCTTCTAAATTATGTCATTCCAAACGGAGATGCAATGACCTCAGATTTGTACTGGACACTTTGGAACAAATTGCATGTTTTTAAAGGGTCATAAAAAGGAAAGAACTGATAGCAAATAGCCATAGAGCTACAGAATTATAGTAGGAACAGCTGAACCTTCATCATTTTCAGAAATGAGGTCCTGTGCCCACTCCAGGGGAAAAATATTGCCTTCCTTCTCTCCCAGTAAAAGAAATTTACATTTTCAGAAAGGCAATTCTTGAACAAAATGATTTGTCAATTTTCCTGTTCCCTCCCCTTACCAAAACTTTAAATGGCTTCTCATTACTGCAAGAGTAAGAATATTAACTTTTATAGAATTGCAAATTTTTTCCAGTCTTATTTCTCCTTATAAACGCCTGTCCTTTTTTCAATACAAATTTTATAAATTATTATAAGAGGTTCACAGAACCCCTGAAATTTTACCACATATCAAGACTTTTTGATTTTGATATTTAATAAATACCAACATTTAGGTATCCCCAATATGAAAATAAACATCAGTCTGTAAGATTGAGTTACACAAATAAGTTGTTGAAGATCACAGCAGGAAGGCTGGAGAAAGAATTCAAAGTTTCCAGTGTTAATTAAATTATACCTTTCTGTATTAGATATTTCTTCATTAGACATTCTGTTTAATAATCTATCAATTACTTTTGCTATTTATCCTAAGATGCTACAAATACAGATTAAATGTCAATCTCAAGTTTTAAAAATACATATATACCCAAACTGAGGGATATTCTATAATAAACTGGCCATTGTCCCTTTGAAAAATGTCAGTCATGAAAGAAGAAAAAGGCTGTGAAACTATTGCAGATTAGAAGAAACTAAAGAAACATGAAAACTAAATGTACTACATAGTCCTATACCGGAAGAAAAAAAATTGATAAAGGACAAGACAATTGATTAGAGTATATGGACTGTAGATTATAATATTATAACAATGTTAAATGACAAATTTACTATTGTTACATAAAAATATCCTTGTTTTTAGGAAATAAGGAGTAGGGGCACAATATATGCAACTGGATCAGAAAATGATACACATACATATGGAGAGAGAGAATGATAAAGTAAATGGCAAAATGTTGAAAATAGCTGAATGCAGGTAAAGGGGATATGATACATTTTTTGTACTACTTTTTCATCTTTTTTGCAAGTTTGAAATGATTTCAAAATACAGTTAAAAAATACATATATACTTTACCTCTGTCCAATTTAATCCCATCGTCAAAACGGGAGAAGAGCCTGTATCTCTGGGCCCAGTATTTTGCTAGCTCTGGAACAGAAGCTATCTCAGGTGGCAGGCCATTTACCTTTTTGTTCTTGTTTTTCTTCTTCTTCTTCTTTTTTACTTCAGCTAAAATAAAGTACAGAGTACAGATACTCATTATGAAAAAATGAAAATCACATGTGAATTTATCTAAGTATAGCCATATCAAATAATTACAATTAGAACATGTATGTAATGACACACTCAGAGAAGCAGTAGGGCTTGATGGGAACACCACTGACTTCAATCACAGCCTCCACTTTGCTAACTTATTGGCTTTGTAAGCTTGGAAAAGTAACCTACGCTTTTAAACTGTATTACTGAGAATGAATGAATGAGTTAATTAATGTGTAGTATTTGACTAAATTTATTCACAGCATTGATAGGAAATATGTAGAAGTACTATTATAGATATAAAAGTTATTGTTTTTGTTAGCATAGACACTGCTTTAGTTGGTTAATTATAGAAATCTAAACATTTCTCTTCAATTCTTTAAAACAAAATGGTCCAAGGACTAGATTAGGCTCTAGTTTTTAGCCACATCAATCCTAGAAGTCACAAGGCATCTGAGAAATTCAAATAGGGGTCACTAGCTCCAATCTATAGAAAAGGATTTCATTCATTCAGAGACTGATTCTTTTTCTTAGATAAATGATTTTTATTAGTTTGGTTATTTATTTGGTTTCAGTCCCTGGCAAATTAGAAGCAGCAACATAGAAGGATGCAGTCTGTCACTGGTAAGTACAAAAACAGAGGTGATGGCTGACAAGGAATAAAACTCTCTCATGTTTAAATGATCCTCAATGATAGGACTATGTCTTCATTTGATCATTTGATCACTGCAAATAGCAAGTCATAATTTGGTAAGATCAGATCTCCCTGCTCCCCAAAAAGTGGTATCAACAGCAAAGTACAGTGTTTTTCAACAGAGGAGATAATGTCATTTTGGATGGAATAATTCTTTGTTGTGCAAGACCATCTTGTCCACAACCTAACATTAAGTAACTTGAGTACTAAATGCCAGAATTCCCCAGGTCATTCTAACACCCAACATCAACAAAAAACTGTCAAAAAGAAAACCAGAATTATACTATATTTCAAGAGGGCTCAGAAGGATGGGCTACCTTTAGCCCACAGAATATATTGAGTAGCAGGAGAGGCCAGCTTAAGGTCAGACAGTGGACATCAGATGCAGTGTTCACATAGGCTTTCCCTTTGACTTTGTTGTGCTGCTCATGCAAGAGTGAAGAGGACTCTGGGTGCTATTATATAGCCAATGAGAACAGTAACACTTAATATGCATTCTCTCCACTTAAAAATCAGAAGCAGTGATTTCTTAGGTACAGATGATTGACATGTGAAAACTAAGGAAAAATGTATTAAGGAAAAAAATGTGTTTATCTAAATCCATTAGTAAGTTGAAGCATATTTAGTCTTACCTTCAGTTTCTGCCTGAAGAGAGTCTGGCATATCTTGAATAACACAATTCTGCTTATCTGGAACAATTGTGCCCAAGCCAGCTCCTTCATTTTTTTCTATTTCAAGTTCACCAGTTGAAGATATGATCTGACATCTTTCAGGTTCTGGATTACTAGTCTCCAGTGGTTCACTACCTTTTTTAACAGACATGTCTTGTTCCTCTGAATCACTACTTGTGCAAGTGTCTGGCACGTTGTTCTGAGAAAACGACTCTTGTGACACTTCTTCATCCACTGGTTCGTTAACCCATGTTAGGAATTTTTCTACCTTAAATTTTAAGATGACATCATGAGCAGGAATTAATTCCAAACTACACAGAATCTTTACTTGGTGACTTGACTGGCAAACTATGTCATATTAGCTCTGCAAAGTACACTGCATCACATAAGCTGATATAAGTAATTCTGACTAATTGGAATTTGTTATCTGGGTAAGCATGACCTTATTAAAGATTTCTTTAAAAGGAAGAGAATATCAGATTAAACATTTTCTGTTATCAACGCTAAGAGGATAAAGCCAAACTGTCCTAGCAGCTTTCCATAAGAGCTCCTAACAATATCACTGTGCCGAGTGATACTGCCTTTACGAATGTTCCCATTTATTGCTGAATTATTAATTTTAGTATTTCAGATTTATAGGGCTTTCTGCAATAGCCAAGCTACAATCTATATTAAATGTTACTTAGCATCAAAGATGAACTCTAAAAGATTAGGGCCAATTTGTCTATAAGAATAAAAATGGTACTACTTTGGAAATGAGAGCTGTTTTTTAATGAAACAGTAGAGCCAGTAAAGTAAGTTCTAACAAACCAGATTTATTCTTAGAAATGTTAGCAAGGCTCAAGGTCAGATGATATACTTCCTTGCATCTTGGGAACAAGAGTATTTTTCATATCAGGTCTTTATGACCTTCCTAAGAGTGAGTAAATTAAAACAACAGTGGTAGACATAAGATAGGCAGCAATCTAGAATCTTCCTCTGGGGGAAATGAGCCTATATATCAATCAGATGTCTAAGGACACAACAGCCACAATACTTTTTTCCTTAGCAATGCCCAGTAGCTATGTTTCTGCTCCCCTCTGTAGGTGAATGTATGGGGACTATTATATCCAACGCATTTTGGGAAGTCCTACAGGACTAATTGGACTGATACGAGGCAGTCCGTTTCAGAAATAACCAGGGCCACTGAAACATTTATTAAAATATCACTGGCAGCCAGCCAATCTGAAATATAATAAAAAAATAAAACCAGCTATAAATCTGCAGCATATTTTATAAGTATGCTAAAGTATGAGGAAGGATAATGTATCATGAGGGTAAAACAGAATCATCGTGGAGTCCTGAGATTATGTTCTACCGTCCTAAAAAGCTGCTGGAGATGTGACTGGTATCAAGTTCTGCTCATTAAAAGTTGCTTTTTTTTTCACACCTGTAATCCTTGCACTCTGGGAGGCCAAGGTGAGAAATCGCTCAAGGTCAGGAGTTTGAAACCAGCCTGAGCAAGAGCGAGACCCTGTCTCTACTAACAATAGAAAGTAATTAATTGGCCAACTAAACATATATAGAAAAAATTAGCTGGGCATGGTGGCACATGCCTGTAGTCCCAGCTACTCGGGAGGCTAAGGCAGAAGGATGGCTTGAGCCCAGGAGTTTGAGGTTGCTGTGAGCTAGGCAGACACCACGGCAGTCTAGCCCAGGCCACAGAGCGAGATTCTTGTCTCAAAAAAATTAAAAAAAAAACACCAAAAAAGTTGCTTTTTTTTCTAGAATGTATTAATAAAAGGATAACTTGTCAAACCAAGTAATCTTCTAATTACTTGTTTTCCAGGTATTTGGATAGCAGGTACAGCAAAGTCCAAGAGAGGGGATATGAATATTCCAATTAACAATGTTAGCCAACAAATTGGTCTTGTGTTTCATGCTATTAGCACGAACACATTATCTCAAAGTGTGATGGATCATCTCTGGATGAGCTCAGAATTAAGGCTTACTATAAAAGCTGCATCAGGATTTGATCCTACTTAGCTTGAAACAGATGAGAAATTCCTCCTTGCTCTTGTTCGTTACTAAACAGGTAAGGCAATTTGACTTATTTATCTTCCTGGATACTAGTACTTTGTAGCTTTCAAACACTCCCTTTTCACATTATCTCGACTTGCTTTTTTTCAAATTTATTTTATATAATACAAAATGGGCTTTCAAGAAACAAGTTAAAAAAAATTTAGGTACCCTTTAGGTACATTTGGTAGAAACTGGCTTCCCATTTGAATACGACAGTTTTAAGGAGTCAGGCTCACAAAATGTGATTTTATCTGTAAGTATAAAAAAGAATTTATACATACCTTACTCAGAACTTTGCTTTTCTTAAAAAGTAGTTTTTCTGACTCTTCAGTAAAGAAGATGTGTTTGTTTTTCACCTTTATTTGTCTGCGCATGTCCAGGTACTTAGACTTACGCTTCACATTCTTCTCTAGATACCTGACCTGCCGATGACTGAAATTCAGAATTCCGCCATATCTGTGACCAGACCAAAAGAAGTGACTCACACCTTAAGTTCTAACAGTATGTTTCCTTATATGAAAAGAGAATGAAACTAACAATTTTTACTAGCTTTTCTACTAGTACTCACCATTTTAGTATTTTTACTTTTTAAATAATGAGATAGGGTCTTGCTATGTTGCCTAGATTGGTCTCAAACTCCTGGACTCAAGCAATCCTCCCACCTCAGCCTTCCAAAGTGCTAGGATTATAGTTGTGAGCCACTGTGCCCAGGCCTCTTTTTTTAATTATGAAAATGAAATCAAGTTCAAATTGCAGAGTCAAATAGCTTTTATGTTAATTCTAAAGCAAATGTGAAACATTAAAGTTGGGAGTAGCAATATACCTAATATAGAGCAGAAAGTAGAAATTACATAATGGACTGCAATAAAGATATAGCAAAAAAACCTATCCCTGTTAGGAAAATACAAATTCTCTTAAGGTAGGGTGATGCCAAAGCTCTTAAACACATATCTGGATGTGTGTAAATTATCTTAAGAGTAGTCAATAAATTCTTAACCTAAATCAATTTGAGTTTTCCAAAGAAACCTCTATTATCAAAATGATTAGAGAATGTCTGATCTAACCACTTGAATTTTTCTACTCTTAAAAGATATGCATCCGCGATGAAGCCTCCTTTAATTGTATAGCCTAACTCCCTCTACTACAAACTATTAGAAACTTCAGAGTGTAACATATACTTCACAGCATTTGTAAAATCCAGAATAGTTTGGCTACAGATGTCAGATCTTATTTTCTAGCCATATTATAAACTTCTTTACAATAAAAAGTATATATTAGGCCGAGTGAGGTGGCTCACAGCTGTAATCCTAGCACTCTGGGAGGCCGAGGTAGGGATTACTTGAGGTCAGGAGTTCGAGAACAGCCTGAGCAAAAAAGCAAGACCCTACCTCTACTAAAGATAGAAAAAGTAGCCAAGTGGTAGTACCCGCCTATAGTCCCAGCACTTGGGAGGCTAAGGCAGGAGGATCCCCTTGAACCCAGGAGATGAAGGTTGCAGTGAGCTATGATGACACCACTACACTCTAGCCCAGGAGATCTAGAGAAACTCTGTCCCCACCACACACAAAAAAGTATATATTATTCTCTTTTAAGTAGAAATGGGTACTCTAAATAGAACAATAGTTAACTTAAATTCCAGGTCAAAAAAACCCAGATCCCTATGAATGCATACTACCAAAAGCTACCCAATATTTTCAATAAAATTACATGTGTAATTGTAGTAATAGATTCTGCCAGGAATTTAAAAACCTTTTACATTGCTACACTCATGATCTTTAGCCTTAAATGATTATATAAGCTAAAATTGCCTTGACGTACCTACAGGAGAGATTAATTATCAGCATGTACTTCTGAACTAATTTGGATTCAATTTATAAGTCAATCTTGACACACTCCCCATGCTCTCTTTTTTGCTGACTTCATAAATGTGTAGGTATCTATTTAGATTTCACAATTTAGAAAACAGGATCTGACGTCTCAACCCTTAGATCCTGGTTTGAATTTAGATCATTAGTACAAGCCATTATTAGTGTGCCTTACCTACTCAGTTTAATCTTCATGTCACATGTGATAAAATCTCTAGTTGTTCTTATGCAATTACCTACTTGTTCATAGTATCCTTATATTTAATGCTTGGGCATTTAATCCCAGAGAAAATTTTGGTTTTCTATACACAAATGTTCACAACAGCTTTACTTATAATAATAAAATACTAGAAATAATCCAAACACCCTTTGATAGGTGAATGGTTGAACAAATTTTGGTACATCCATACAGTGGAATACTATTCAGCAATAAGAAGGAAAGAATGATTGACACATGCAATAACCTGGAGGGACCTCAAAGGCATTATGCTCAGAGCTTAGGAAATAATTTAGATGTTGTTAATTAGTATGATTAAATAAACACAATGCCCCCATTGACAGGATTAGGTAAATGTGTGTGCCAACCAGGAAGATTATCCATGGTACATTGTTGAGGGAAGAAAAGCAAGCTGCAGAGTGTACACAATATGATCTCATTTTTGTTTTTGATAAAAAAGTAATATCTATGTATATGTACATAGTCACAAAAACACACATGAGTAAATTTGGAATGTTACATGCCAAACTCATTAAATAATGCCTACCTGTGGGAATGATCTGAAGGAAAGATTTTCACTTTTAACTTATTATTTGTTTTATTGATTTGAACTTTTCATGGCATGTTTGCTATAATCTACAAGGTACACAGGGATAGACATGTGAGAAACTAGGTGAAAAGAGAGCCATGCTCAGAAGTTACAAGAGTTGGGCTTAAATCTTCTCTACAGTAAATTATGTGATATTGACCAAGTAAAACCTCTGTGAGCTGCAGTTGTTTTATCTATGAAATGGAATAACAACACAGGACTGCAATGAAGTGCAATTGAGTTACTACATGTGAACATATCAAATGTATAGTGATACCTCTGCTACAATTCTACTAACAAGAGGTAATTATAACATCTCAAATGCTCTCAAATATATTATCATTTATTAGCTATCTGAATACCAGAGAGCTTTAAGACAGCTGAAGTGGTTAGGATTTCTGGAAGACGATAGCTTTTATGAATAATTACTTTTGTCCTGAGCCATGCTTGAATCCTAGAAGGGAACCATTGTCATCAAAGTCTGGATCTGGGTTTTCATCGATGTCTAGTTCATGGCTAAACAAATAAACAAAAGGTAAACAGTGATAAGTCATTATCTTCAGAACCTACCAGATCAGGCAAATGCCAAAAGGTACATATAATCAACCTATGCAAACTTTCCCATCATAGTTATCAACCATAGTTCACAAATTCAGGAAGCCAGGAGGAATACTTTTATTAGGATTTTCCAAATGAGATAAAGCACCCAGCAGTATCTGTAACATAGTAATAAGCACACAAATCTTAAAACATGTGAAGTAATCATTTCTATTCCTGAACATGGTACAAATATGCATCTCTCCATTTTCCTTTGGAAAGGCATAATCAAAAGGTGCAGCCTTAAATTAATCTCCCAGAGGGATCTCTCCAGCAATTTTTCTTAAAAACAAACAAGGAAACATTTGATAAATATCAATCCAATCAAAAAATTTTTAAAAGAAAAAATATTAAGAAGAATAAGGTTGCCATACCAGTGATATTAAGTAATCTAGGAGATTCAACTTATCAGGGTTGCCTGGGTTGCCAGGTAGTTGCTAGACTACCTGGGCCATAATTCCAAGTAAACAAAAATGATGAGAAATAATTCTTATAAAGTTTGTCCTTCCAATTAAGTTATACTCATTCAACATTTATGGAGTACCTACTAGGTCCCAGGAACCTAAGTACACAGCCTCTAGGAACTGGTAGGAATTAGCAGGAATCGGGGAGTTAACAAACAATGTCTTCTAGAGGGAGACAGTAGAGGCATGCTTTTATGAACTAAGTTACTGAGCCTCCAGAGCTTGCTAACTGTTTTTCTAGAAGCCATCTGTAGCACAAAAGTCTTATGTGAAGCACCTCACATCCTGTTAGAGAAAAGAAATTTTTTCAACTAACATCCAAATTCTATAGTTTTCTTATTATCCATAGCATTAGCATTTGACCACGTTCTACCTTACATTATTCTCCACTTGTTTAATTATATGTATAGGTAGTGTCAACTTCCAAAAAAAAAAATAGAGATGAATCTCAAAAAAAAAAGAGAACTTTTATTTGGAAATAAAGCATGAAAATAGAATGTGATTTGAGACATATGCACAGAATGAGGCGGCCTCGTGAATGTCTGAAGAATAAAAGAAAAATTTAGGGTTTTACTGAGGAAACAGGAGGTTATGTAAGTTGTTTAGAAAGAAAGTTTATTGGCACTGGCAAGGTCTTACAAGAGCTGGTGAGTTTTTGATTGGAGAGTGCCAGTAGTTGTTAGGTAGAATTTGTAATCTGGGAGTTATGATAGATCCTTGCAGTTATGGACTGAACCTGTGAGACAGTGTGTCAGACAAGTGTCCTTGTATAAGTGGCTAGCTGTCCTTGTGTGACTCATGTGGTAAGCTGCAGCTAGGAAAAATTTCTTGTGATAGTCCATGTTACCAGGCAAATCGAGTGTAAGAACCCTCCCTTTCTAATCTTCCCAGCTGCATCTTGCCAGGGTTTGATACAAGTATCTCTATTTTGAATCTTACAACTTTCAGTGGTAAAGAGAAAGCATTGGTGTGGGTAGCGTTGGGCTGGGCTCCCATTTAGGGCTTCCATTGTTGTAAAGTAACTCTGAGCTTATCACTTCATCTGAACTTGTCACTTTCATCATCTGTACATCACACATTACTTATCACTGTTTGCATCACTATTCCTATCGAGGTCTAATTCAGTGATAAGAATCTGTAATAATGTATATCCAGACTTTTGAGAGAGATTAATTATTAGTTAAAAGTTATAATCCATTGATAGTGACTAAGCATAAGATATATTACATGCTAGCTCCAGTCTACCCAAAGATCTCACAAAGAAGGCATCAGTCCCATTTTATAGATGAGAAATTAAGAAATGTATTTAGTTTGTGAGTGGTAGGATTGGGATTTGCCTATGGGTCCAAAAGTCCAGGGTCTCACTCGTAGACCCTGTCTCTTCTCACAGGATTAGCAGTATTTTGCATAAAACCAGCATCACTCAGACACATATGCTGGTGCTAACACATTCTGGAGAGACAAGTAATGTGTAACTGACCTCCTCTTCAGTTTGCTTGGCTTGTGCTCAGGTGGATCTTCTTCGCTCTCCTCGTCATCAATACCACTGGTGTGTGGTCTGTCTTTGCTTGTGTTTGCTCCTGAAGATTCTTGTGAATCTAAAGAGGCAGAAATGTTGCAGTGGATTTTCCCCTTGGTTTGACAACTTTTCTGCCAGTTGCAAAACCAATCAAAATATTTTAGTGCCTTTTCTGCAATGAACCGTACATGTGCATCAAAGTACCAAGACACAGCTACCCGTCTGTGTCTACATGCAGACATTTTAAAAATTGTAACTAAGTCCATACAGTTTGTTAAATTAAATTTAGCCTAATGGGGTTTCTGTACACATTTTAAGTTTGGTCTAAAGGTTTCTCTGTACACTGTACATAATGATACATAACCTAACTGGATGTATAAATTGTAATCTATTCTTATACCAATTATAGAGTTTTGGTCAATCACAGGTGGCCAACTGCTCAAACTGTGTTTAAATGAGGCAAATGCTGAGCTGTAACCAATACAGCTGTCTCTGTATCTCACTTTCGTCTTCTGTACGTCACTTTTCTTTTCCTGTTTGTAAATGGTATCCAACCATGTGGCAGCCCTCCAGTTACTCTGAATTTTTTCTGCTTCTGGAGGCTGCCTGATTTTCAAATCACTCTTTGTACAATTAAACTCTGTTAAATTTAATTTGTCTAAAGTTTTTCTTTCAACAGGATTAAAAGTTTCCATGATCTAACTACTTAAAAAAACAAACTAAAACCACTCCTTCATAGCTGCCCAAATCTACCCAAATTAATCACAAAGCTGCCTTTGTGGATAGCTGCTTGTGGTCACATTCTTTTAGAATTTTAATGTAAATGACTCTAAAAAGAGCATGATCATCTGTTTCAAAGAATTTCTCTTCATCACAAGGCAAATACATTTGTATTTAATATAGGTGGTTAAATTAATAACGGAAGATAAGTACTACCTTTAAAAAGAGTATGTTTAACTTCTGATGGCTCCAACTGAGGCAAATATCTGTCTTTGTTCTTTATTTCATCAGACTGAAGAAAGTGAGTAGGTGAGACTAGAAGAAAGGTGTCTGAAGGATAGACAGTGGGAAGCTTTGACTGTTGGGGACACTCTTCCAGAAGAGCACCAAACACGAGAAGTAGAAAACACACTTACATAGAAATGTAATATGCACCTTCTAAGTCAAAACCTAAAACCCTCAAACTGATCCCGATGACAGACACATTGGAACTACTTACAGAAATGGTTAATCCACACACATAAAGAAGGGAACAGGCAATAGAAGGCAGAGACTATGGGTAGGTTTACTGTGTTTGGCAAATGAAAAAAGTTGGTATATGAGGGAGGGGAACCAAATATGCTTATTACCAATTTATGGTCAAAATAAGCACAGAAATATATCAGGAGAGTATAGAAGAGTATAAGAATACTAAAAAAATCTTCAGATATAAAAGGATGAAAATAACACCAGTAGAAAGGAATGAGAATATTGTACTGAAATAAGCTCTACTGTAAAAGTAGAAAGTGAAGAAAAATAACAAAAGTTGAAAAGTTCTTTAGAAACTCAACTAGATGGAGATCAGCAATCTGAGATGAGCAGAGAAACTCAGTTGTTAAGTGAAAGGTCAAACCTTTTGCTTCACGTAGGAATAAGACTGAGAAGAAAGTTCCTCTATACTAGATTTCTCTGGCACCAAACACCAAGGATGCCAAGAATTTAGGACATTCAAGTCATAAAGATTTCTTCCTTTCCCATTTTCCTGGCGCCACCAATGACAGAACCTTTCTCCCTAGCAACAGCATTCTCATCCTACCCTATTCTGATTAATTTCTTTCAACACACTTCTTATTGGCTTTCTCTAATCCTGCCAGTGCACCAGTTTGCACAATGAGTTTCTTTTTTTTTTTCAATCCCTTATGTAAGAGTCAACCAAGTTCCTTACCTTGGATATTTTATTGATGGGAATCCTGAAGTCAACCCTTTCAGTTACAAATTAGTATTGTGCTCTATTGAGATCTCCTATAGAGCAAGATTTCACTTGTCCTAAATAAATTCTATATATGACTCAGAGCAAGTTTGCTTAATGCCAAATGTATGCTTTCAATCAGTCTCTCCCATGCCTCCTATAAACTCATTTGCTGTGGAAAACTGTGAAAGTCCCAAGCTCACTCTAAATTACATTTCTCAAGAGAGATCCATGTTTTTCTTCACTGGCCACTAAAGTACAAAAGGAAGGAATGGTATTTTTGAGAACTCTATGCAAATATTCCTATTAATACAAAAGGGGAATATATAACTTGTGATATTAAAATAAGATAGATTAAATAATTTCATTATTATACTATGAATATAGTTGGTATTAACTTTCCTATAAGGTATTAGTAGTTATTTTCCTAAATAAATTCATTTTGCTAACCATTAAACAGAATAAATCTTGCTTAATCTTACCCTGAGCTGGTTGGTCTGTGCTTCTATTCCCAGATGAGCTGTTTTCCTTGGTGCCACCATTATTACACGGTTCACTTTGGCCAGATGCAGGGCACTCTCTCCTGCTACTAACTTCACTGAGCTGCTGACAACCACCACGACTTACTGAAGAATCTAATTGGCTCTGTTCTACTACCTCTGAATTCAGAGTTATATTACTAATTCCATCAAGTATTTCATTATGATCCTTATCACTTGTACCAGAGTTGTCACTATCTACTGCAGTAGGTAAAGATGGGAAAGATATTAAGTTGACCTTCACATAATTTTCATCTTTCTTGCTGTCAACTTCTGATGCACAAGTATCTGTATCACAGCTTTGCGAGGTATCAAAAGTCCAACCCTGAGCTTCCCAGTACTGAAATTGTTCTAAATAATACCAATAAAGTTGACTATAATGTTGCTCCCATTCTTCCTTTGTATCAGCAAAGTTCCAAGGTTCAGCAGACAGTGTTTGATCTGGATGTTTTTCTTGCCAGCTTTGCCACAACAGTCCTCCTCCATATTCATTCCAATACTTTTCCCATTTCTCTGTAATCTCTAGTTTTGGCGATAATGTATTTTCAACAGGAAGATTTTCTGTTTGGATGTGTTCTTTGCTTTGAAGTTTACATGTTCTTGTGTTCTCATACTGTTCAACTTCAGATGGGTCATCTGAATCCAAAATATCATCTTCTTCATATTCTTTTCTCCAAGATTCTTGCATAATTTCATTTAAGTATTTCTTTTGATGCTTTTTCTTTTTCTTTTTTATTTTAACTTTATTTCTAGTATTCATAGACACCTACACCAGACAAATGATAACTTGAATATAAAATGCACTTCATATATTATAAAAGAAAGTAGAATCCAAGTCTGTTTTGACACTAAACAAAATACTCTCAAAACCACACTCTGGGCTTTTAGTTACACCAACAAGTGACTCTTACTATTTAAATTCCCAAGAGGAGAAAGTCACACATGGGACTTATCATAATTGGCGGTTGGGATTTTTTTGTAAAAAGAGGTAGAATGCTCTAATCAGGAATGCATTTGATCTGGAATGAAGAGTAATTCCTAGGCTTGTCACAGAGGCTCATGCCTGTAATGTTAGCACTCTGAGAGGCCAAGGCAGGAGGATCACTTGAGCTCAAGGGTTTGAGACCAGCCTGAGCAAGAACGAGACCTTGTCTCTACAAAAAATAGAAAAAAATTAGCTGGGTGTGGTGGCACTCGCCTGTAGTCCCAGCTACTTGGGAGGCTGAGGCAGGAGGTCGCCTGAGCCCAGGAGTTTGAGGTTGCAGTGAGCTACGATAACGCCACTGCACTCAACCCTGGACAACAGAGTGAGACTCTGTCTCAAAGAAAAGGAAAAAAAGTAATTCCTTGTGATACTTTATAAAGAAAACTAAGAAATAGAAATAATAAAAGCAAATTAATACTTACCTCAAATTTATCATGTGCAGCTATCCCACCAAATTGAAGTGGCAATCCCATACTTCTCATGAGTTCGGCCTCAGAATCAAGTTCATTTTCATCTAGGCCTATGCCTTTGCTGTCACATGATTCTGCAGTACCATGGGAATGACCACCTTCCTCCTCTTCTGTAGTGTGGTCTCCTACACACAGCATTTGTTAGCTTAGTTTTAAAGAAAATTTAGAGGTAGGTTTTCTTATCCTCATTTTAAAGAGGAAAGTGAGATCCAAAGTGATCATGAGTTCCCCAATGTAAAGGTATATAAATGTTACAATTTTTAATGGGAAAAGAAAAGAACTAATGGTAATTTAGATTAGGAACAAAAACAGCCAATGAAGAATCAAGAGACAACTTCTCAGCTGACTGCCTGCCACTATCCATCCAGGTGTCCATTCAACTTGCACTTACTGGGCATGCACTCTGTGCTGAGCTGCGTGCAAAGCACTGAGGATAGAAACAAGGGAGAGCAGGGTGACGTAACCCTGCTCTATGGAGAAAATGCTTACATGTTCACACTCCTTATCTGTAAAACTACGGAATAAAACCAGTGGATTTAAAGTCCTTATTTGTGGAGTTATTTTAGGAGATGTTAACAAGAGAGGTGAGAGGTATGTCTTTAGGCGCCTCACAGACACTTCAACACAACTGGGATTTCGGTCCTGGAATTCTATGGAAGAGCTGATTTAACGAAAGGTTTCTGCTATTAGAAATTTGAAACCCACTGAACTGGAAGATTCTTTCAAGCTCCCTGAGTCTAGATCTTAAACAAAAACTGTTTATTACAACAAAACAAGTTTTATTTTACCCTAATATGATTATCTAAGAGATGATATCACTAATTGAACAAATGCCATTCAAGTGCTCTATTAACTGTTTAAAATTTGAAATAACAAAAATCATTTTATATATTAGCATATTTAATTAGTGGTGAGCTCCAGCCTGATGATCTCAGGCAACAGAACAGTGACTCTTACACAGCAAAAATGAAGACTTTTAAAAGAGAAATCTCATATGTAAATTCTACCAAATAGGCTCCTGAAAGAGGAAAAAAGATATTTCTTTAAATAACATCTATTTAAACCACTCACCATTCCATTCAATAAACTTATGAAAGCTCAGGAGAGAGCAAAATGAGAAAAATGAATAAGCTAAGTTTTATTTTCCTCTGTGGTGCACATATTATCTTATGTTCAGTGGGAGCCTAGCGTTTACAGAAAGCTTTTTTTGTATAGGATTGCACTGAAACACAAACCAATATTTTATCCAGTGATCAAATGAAGAAACAAAGATTTGTCCCATAATTGTGAGAGTTAAAAGGATTTTCAAAGGTAACTATGACACATTGTACTTGGGCTGACTGGCTTCTAACTCCATGCTGCAGTTTTCTCCATGTCTAGAAACATAAAAAGTCTGTGTGGAAGGACAAATGGAGTAGCGAAGTACGAACGGACAGACCAAATTCTATTTGTACTTAGAAAAGTTAACCCAGATGACTGCCTCTTTACTTCAGGCAAAAGACTATTGATGCTCACTTGGAATTTATCCTGCATCTTTTATTGATATAATAAAATTCTGATGAAGAAACTATACGTTCTCTACTTTTCAAAGCTTCAAATTCCAGGTTGCTCTTATATAATGGCAACAATTCAGGAAGGAATGCTACACAGGAAAAAAAGAGGCTATATCAAGCCCACACAGAAGCTACAGAAAAATAAAAGATCTGCTTTAACAGAGATTCTACTAATAGAACCATGTTATAAAAAAATACTATTTATGATTATAGGATTATTTGGCATTTATCATATTTTATGCTAACAAATTAACATTATAACAAATTATACATAAAGTAATACAGTATTAAGATTAATTTTAGCAAAAAAGGGCTATATAGTTTTATCCTATATTACCTGCATTGTTGCCACTGCCTTTGACATAGTAGCCTTTTAATCCCAAATTGCACAATTTTCGATCCCTGTGAAGCAAATTAAGCAATCCATATTAAAACAAATTAAGCCATAACTTAGAGGGGGGAAAAAAGCTCAAGTTAGCATAGATTAATTAATTAAAAGCTTATAAAACAGAGAAGCAATCTACTAATACATTTTTCTCACCTATGATATACAGATACATTTCTCATGGAGTTGTTATAAGGATAGTATATGTAAAATATTTAACATAGTACCTAACACATGGTAGCATTTGTTATACAACTACTAATTGTTGAAATTAAGTGGCATTTCTCCCAGATATTGGGCAAAGGATCTGTTATTCCTTATGATACCTAAATAATGAGGTGTTTTCTAAATTTTGCTGTAAGAAGTCAATATCCAACAATGTTCAATTTCCAACAGCAGAAAGCTTTAGCTTACACACACATAAATCCATACACAGATCCTAATCCATCTGTAAGTAAGCCAAACTATCCAACATAAATAGTAGATAAGATATTCAGTCTGAGCAAAGGTTGTTTTGAGGATTAACAATGAAATTCTTATTTAAATATCTTACCAACCGGAAACATAAACCAAGGCAAAACAATTCAGTCTCACTGATTATCAAAAACAGTGAATGAACTTTGCTTTACATGAAGACTTGGATTTTTCTTTATGTACTATGACTGGAAATTACCAAAATAAACCTAACAGAACACTTTTAAAAAGTGGAAGGTTTTACTATTCGGTAGATCTTCCTACCTATAAATTCAACAGTAATAAACTCCACTGTAACTGCCACAGTAAGGTCAATTGCAAGTCATAACAAACCTTACTTTACTAATGGAGCTACAATAAATGTAACAAAGTAAAATTCCTGTGTACCTGATCTACTTTGTACCCTCTTGTTTCTTTTTGGGGGATATTTTATAATATGCAGAGTAGATGGTGACTCATAGCAAGACAGTGAACAGGGAAGGGGGTGGGGTGCAAATGAGCTTTGGCATCATGCCCACTGCCTCCTTCCCCAAGAACATAGGCACTGGGGCAGGAGGAGCAGAATATGCACTGAGGGCATGAGTGGTGTACCCACCAGCACCCAAGGATGCGGGGCACTGAGGTGTTGGGTGGAGGAGAGGACCAGTAAGGTTGCAATATTGGTTATAATGAACACATAAGTAAACGTACTGAGGATAATTGTAGTCAAGATTCTCCTTGTTGAAGGTTATTTAAAAACAAGGAAGGCTAGAAAGAACCCTGAGGTGTTATTGGGCTAACACTGGAAGTAGTTATAAACTCATGGTGTATAAGTTTATATGCATAGTGGATATGAAAATAGTTTTATATGTGTTATGTATATGTGTATGTAAGTACATATATATGTTTATGTATGCATGTGGACACACATATACCCTACCTAACTCTATCTACCAAGAAGGTACAGGCACAATAAGCACAACGAACACCTAGCTTTTGGTTTCTAAATACTATTCTCCACTAATGAACCAGGGTGCCTTGGAGAAATGGCAATTTCCAGTTGGAGCATGGACTATAAAAGACAGGTCTGGGTCATCTTCTGCCAGAAGGTTGTGAAGCACTCAAAGAATGATGGAGACATACAAAAGGACAGAGGAGCCACCTCAAAGAGTCTCCCATTGGCTAAATCAGAGATAACATGAGCACCAAAATAAATAATGATAGCAATGCAATATAACCTGTTAATAAGCTACGAATCCACAGTCCATGTTAACATAAACAACTACATGGGGATACAAGGGAAAGTGAGTACTTCTTACAGAATGCTAACTAATAAATGCAGAAGGAATGAAGGAAACAAGGCAACCTTCAGAGAGGTAGCTGATTCAGGTGGAAGCTGTTGATGAAGGCTAAGGCTTGTAACTCTGCCGGAAAACAGAATATTGGTGTAATATTGAAATATGTTCCCACAGACACTGACTAATACAAAGGAAACCGCTGTGACTTTCCAGCAGAGAAACCTGGCAGTCAGCAACATCAGCCATGGTGGTATGCTGCCTACATAAAGTGCTTCCTGTGCCCATGCAGAGCTGGGCACAGCATCACTTCTGTGCCTTCCTGTGAAGGCATGACCTGTGTTCCTGAGGAAACAAGATGGACCCAGGTTAAACAAGTCATCTTACAGAACGTAAGGACATGAAACTTAAAATCCTGTCTGCAGCTTGCTCTCAAATAGTTAAGAAAAAAACTAATGATTGTGTATATCCCTATGGAGGGGAAGAGATGGAGCAAATACAGTTAATTGTTAACGGTTGGTAAATCTGGGTGAGGATAATAAAGGAATTCTTTGAACTATTCTTCTAAGTTTGAAATTATTTCAAAATGAATTATCTAAAAATTAAACAAATGCTTTTTATAACACAAGCAACTTTATATAACAAAAACCAATAACCCCACCATTACAGCATTTTCCTATGTTCTACTCTAGGCTTTGTACATGCACACACAAAATTTTCTGTAATCATTGTGTAGCTATTTTGTATTCTGATATGTTGATTTAACATAAAGTATTTTTTCATGTTACTACAGAGCTGCTGTAATAATTACTTTTAAGAACTCTGTAACATTCCAATTACATCTTCTTCATGCAGATAATGTACAGAAACTTTAATGAGTGGATGAAATAGAATATTACTCTAATTGGTGTTAAAACAGTTTTAATATAATGTTCTTAGAAAATAGAAAGTAGTTACACTATTATGCCCTACTTCCTTCCTTTGAGGTGAGGTGTTGCAATAGTCTTACTAATATGAGAATCAACTCTTAATCCCTGAGAAGACATCTGGTACCTATGCTAATGCTCATTTTCTATGTTTTCTGCTACGTGACACTGATCTTTTAGTTTAATAATCTATTCTAGAATTTTTGCCAGCAATCAAATCTTCTATCTTTAGATTTTGAAACACTTCTTTTTCCAATGTTGAAAGTCAGGGTTACACTTACTAGCTCCTGAACTTTCAGTGTGTTTCCGATCCCCATAGAATTCTCATGACTATTAGCAACCATTCCAAGATACTATCTCCAAGTTCTTTTCATTCTAAAGGGTTATAATTAGTCTAAGCGGTAATTGATCTAAAGGAAAAAGCCATACAACAAATGTTGGAATTCTGGATCCCGCTCCCACCTATCCCCGACATTAATCACTTCAATTACTATCTAAGGGTGAATGGCTCAAGTTTTTAAGAATAGTCCAGACTTCTCCAGAGCTCCAAATCAATGTGTCCAAGTGCTTATATCATCTACCCTTGAATTTCTCAGATACCCCGAAATCAAAATATACAAAATCAAACTCATGATCTACTCATTCCTGCTCCAAAATAAAATCCATAATTCTCCAGTGATCCCTACCTCAGTGAAAGGGAGCAATACAAGCCAGAAACCAGGGAGTTACCCTTTACCTGGTCTCTTCCTTCACATCCTTTCTCTCTTTCATTTTCCCACATCTAATTCAACCCTCAATCTGAATGAATGATTTCTCTCCTACCTTTCCCCCTTTTTACTGCCATGTATCCTAATCCAAGTCACAATAATCTCTTGCCTGGACAATAGTCTTAAATGGTTCTCTTGCTCCAACCCATCCCTCACACTCCTGCCACGCCACAGTAATCTTTTAAAAATGCAAATCTGGGCCAGGAGTGGTGGGTCACACCTGTAATCCTAGCACTCTGGGAGGCCAAGGTGGGAAGATCACTCAAGGTCAGGAGTTCCAGACCAGCCAGCGCAAGAGCAAGACCCGTCTCTACTAAAAAATAGAAAGAAATTAATTTGCCAACTAAAAATATATAGAAAAAATTAGATGGGCATGGTGGCACATGCCTGTAGTCCCAGCTACTCAGAAGGCCGAGGCAGAAGGATTGTTTGAGCCCAGGAGTTTGAGGTTGCTGTGAGCTAGGCTGAAGCCATGGCACTCTAGCCCCGGCAACAGAGTGAGACTGTCTCAAAAAAAAAAAAGCAAATCCGACAACTTAAGGTTTTCCTATAGTCTACAAAATCCTGCATAGTTTGACTCTGCCTACCTCCCAACCCTATCTCCTTTCTTTCCTAGTCATTTTGTTCCGTTTCCCAGGCTTTCTTTTGCTCTCTCAAGGCCTTTACAGAGTTCAGCCTGCTGAGAATGCTCCCTCAAGAGAAATACCTCAGTTTATCTCCTTTAAACCTCTTTCCAAATGCTACTTCTGAAAGAAACTTTTGTGACCTTATTCGTTATCACAGCATCCTGTACTTCTCTCTCATAGCACTTATAACTATAATTAAGCCAGTAATTATGTAAACAGTTGTCATAATTTAATATTGATTTCCTTTGCTAGAAAGTAAACTCAATAAATGTAGGGACTGGCTGTCTTGTACCCCAGAGCCTACCAGCATACTTGATACACAGGCGCACAAAAGCGTTCACTGAATGAATGTATGATTACGTGCATACCTGACTACAAAGGTGATAATACTTTTTACATTAAATTTAACACGGTGTTTAGCTTCTTTCTGGGTTAATTTTTAGATTACTCCACAAAAATACACAATAAAAAAGAATTCCTTTAAACTTAAATTCTGCTACATTAAACTATATTAAAGTCTATAACATAAAATTCGTTTCCACAAGGATTTGAATCTAACAATATGTATGTGAAATCACGGTAACTATTCCCGTTTTAGAGATTAAAAAAACCATTTAAGTGGCTTAATTTACACATTTACTATAAAGAAAACAATCCTTAGAATCCAATTCTCTTGTCAGTTTTTTTCCTAAACACTTTTTTCCATGTAAGGCAATTTTTACCTGAAACAAGCATTTCCCCAAAATAAAGCTATCTCAAAAACTGATTTATAAACACAAGATGACATATATCAGCCTACCACCTTTTTCATAGCCTACAAAGTAGATGTAGTCCTTCACTTAATAATAATGGCAGCAGACGACCACTCCGTAATGTCTGAAGGTTTCTGGTTTTTTTTTAAACATCACCTTGCCCAAGGGTCAAATACTCTGGCTGATTTTCAGAGATCAGTGACAACTTCGTTTGCAACGCCTACATTTCTGGGAAACGATTGTGCTAGAAAATGAAGACAAACTCGTTTCTACTTACTCTACAAATGCCCTGGAGCAGAGGCAAAGGATCTTATACTCCTCATCCCGGTCTTCAATGAAGAGAAACATTTCGGCCACGCGGCTCCACTTCTCGCAGCACATTTTACCACCTCAGAGGCAGCCCTGCCGTCCCCCGCTCCGGCCCGGCTCTACTCGGATACTGGAGACCAAAGGTAGGCTTCGCGGGCAAGCCCAGGGTGAGGGGTTAGGAACGGGCCCGGGGCCGCTCGCGCCCGGAGCCAGCCTCGACGCCGCCACCGGAAGTGGCTCCAGGCGGCCACGGGAAGGGGCGGGATGACTGGCGGTGTCACATCTAACCCGGCCCGGGCTGCAGCCACCGCTCTAGGTTTTTTTCTTGCAGGTTGCTCGGGAGAAACCGGCCGCGCAGTGTTTCCGCCTCACTCGGCCGCTGAGCCACCGAAGAGGTCCCACCGTCGTGCGTGGGTGAAGGCGAGCCACCCATGCCCCCTTCTGTCCGAGGTGCGTCGGCCCCGGCCTTGGCTTCCCCGCGCTCCTCCCGCCCGGCGCCGGCTCTCGCTGGGTTGGGAGCGGCGAAGGCCGCGCGTCTAGTCTCCCGGGTCGCCCCGGAATCCCTGGACTCCCTGGTCAGGCGGGCTCCGCTTCCCACTGGGCTTGGCGTTCAGCTCGGGCGCCAGAGCGGCCGGGTGGGGAGGTCCTGCCTCCCCTGGGCCACAGGGAGCCTGTTTTCCTCGGCCCGCATCTCCCCTCCCGCTCTAAAACCTCCAGTTGGGCGCGTTTTGTCTAAACTTAGCTGGTGGACGACGCTTCTCCAACCTCTTGAGAGGCCTCTGGGCTCTTCCAGGGACTTCCTGAGTCCAGGACTCGGTTCGAGCCTCCTGTGTGTAAAAGCCAAAGGAAAGTCTGTGGTGATCACGAGAGCGCAGTGAGCACGCCGCGTGGGTAGTGGTTAGACGAGTGTTCGCATCCAGACAGACCAGGCTTGGAATCCTGGCTTATGCCCTTTTCTACTCGTGTGACCTGCGCAGGCTGCTTAATCTTTCTGAGCCTCACTTTGATTATCTGTAAAATGGGGATGATTAATACTAAGTACTTCGCGGGGCTGCCGAAAGGACTCAATGAAACAATGTATAGGAAACCATCTATGTTAGTAATAGTTTGAGTCGGTACAGACTTTTTAGGCGCCAGGCAGAGTCTCGGTACCTGAGGGCTGTAGCCTGTAAAACAAGTCTCTGCTGCCTTCAAACTGCTAATTATCTAATAAAAATACGTACATTTGCACATAAATAGGATGGAGAAAACTGGAACAGTACTGCTCGACTTGGAGCGGTCTGTATTTGGTGTCTGGTATTTGTGGAGACTGCACAGGCAGCTTCCTCAAAGAACCAAGTTCAGACTTGAAGGTTGTTGGAGCACTTGAGACGTGGTTTGTGCTGTTAAATGCCTATATGGTAAAATCTAGACGTTTAGTATGGTCATTAGTATTTTGTCCGCATTTGCTAGTGGGTGGAAATACAAGATTAATTTTCAAATGTTTTTTCCCACATCCTTACTGGTGCCCTACTTTGAGGTCAGAGATTTGCTGATTTTAGTGATTCAAGTAGGTGAGAGTGCTGCAGAGTTAACTGGTAGACCAGTATAAATGTGCATGACTATTGGGATGAGCGGCTAAGGTTAAGAAAATTACCGTAGGGCGGTAATTATGAAATAGACTAGAAGGTTAGCTAAAAGTTGAAGGGCACTCTAGGATTTTTAAAAAAGAAAAAATCTTGAAAGGTAATTTACATCAGAATTTTGACTTTGAAGCTTGAAATTTAAAAGATATGGTTTTAATGATAAAAGGATTGAATTTGCCACATAGATATCTTGACTGAAATATTAAACTGCAGCTTTATTCATGGTTTGAAGTAGAATGTGTATTCACTAAAACTGAGTGCTATATCCTTGTAAAACCATTATTAAATATATGAAAAAGAAGAGAGAAAATTTACATTTCATTGAGTATTTCTTTTCTTTTTTTTTGGATCAGTGTTGCCCCCGGGCTAGAGTGCAGTGGCTTTATCATAGCTTACTACAATCTTGACTCCTGGGCTCCAGCAATCCTCCTGCCTCAGCCTCCTGTGTATCTGAGACCCGGCTAGTTTTTCTGTTTGCTGTGGAGACGGGGTCTCATGCTTGCTCAGGCTGGTCTGGAACTCCTGGCCTCAAGCAATCATCTCGCGTGGGCCTCTTAAGAGTGCTAGGATTACAGGAGTGAGCCACCACACCTGGCTGAGTATTTCTTTAATTGGCATTTTCAGAATGTTCTCAATGCTTGTATATTGAAAGTAAGCACTGGAAAAGTACTGGTAATAGGTGTTTAAAAGTAGATATATTTTCTTAAAGTTTTGTAGAAAACCAAAAATGTCCTAATTTATTAGTTTTTGAAATACTTTGGATTGTAAACATTTATAAGGTCAATTATAGTGAATGTTCCTCACTGTCAGTGTCGTTATGATATTACATGATTTTTTTTTTTTTTTGAGACAAAGTCTTACTCTGTTGCCCAGGCTAGAGTGCCATGGTGTCAGCCTGGCTCACAGCAACCTCAAACTCCTGAGCTCAAGCAGTTCTTCTGCCTCAGCCTCCCAAGTAACTGGGACTACAGGCATGCGCCACCATGCCTGGATAATTTTTTTTCTATATATTTTTAGTTGTCCAGCTAATTTCTTTCTATTTTTTTAGTAGAGATGGGGTCTTGCTCTTGCTCAGGCTGGTCTTGAACTCCTGAGCTCAAGCAATCTCCCTGCTTCGGCCTCCCAGAGTGCTAGTATTACCAGCATGAGCCACCATGCCTGGTGAGCAATCTTAATATTTTTAGCCTTTCTGCCAAAAGAGAGAGAGAAAAAGATATTAAGGTATAACCAGACTAGGAGAGAGGAGAACTAGGTTTTAATTTTAGCTCTTGACTTTTCACTTTAGTAATTTAGTAACTTTGAGCAAGTAGACTTGGCTTTCTGTATTTAATTTTTGTTATCTGCATGATTATGGATTGTACTCATTTGAAATGTTTTAAAGATGCCTTGTCATGTTATCAAAAGTACTGTATTTTATCAACTCAAAAGCATGTTATTCAAACTCCTGTAATAGTTTTGTGTTAGCAGGTTTTGGGACACTGTCTTGATTCACTTTTTTTTTTTTTTAGAAAGGGTCTCTGTGTTGCCTAGGCTGGAGTGCAGTGATGCGATCACAGCTCGCTGCAACCTCAAACTTCTGGGCTTAAGTGGTCCTCCTGCTTCAGCCTCCCAATAGCTTGTAGCCCTATAATAGCTAGGGCTACAAGCATATACCATCATGCCCAGCTAATTTTTGAAAATTTTTGTAGGTTGACCGTTACTATGTGGCCCAGGATGGTCTCAAACTCCTGGTCTCAAGGGATCCTCCCACCCAGCCTCCCAAAGTGCTGGGATTATAGGCACAAGTCATCACATCACCACACTTCCACATTTTTGTTAAAGATGAATACAGTTCAGATCTGTATTTAGCCAGCATTTCTTAGGTGCCTGTTATGTGCCAGGCATTATTTTAAGTGGTTTACATATGTTTTTCTTAGATAACTATTTATTTAATTTACTCATGATTTATCTATTCTAGATAATGTCTGGCACAAATTCTTCATTATCTATTCTAGATAATGTCTGGCCAAATTCTTAGGGCCATCCACTTTATTGTACACTGTATCCTATTCCCTTTGGCTTAGTCAGTAGTCAAGGACATGGCCGTAACAATTATCTTCTCTCTTGCATCATTCATTTCTCACTCTCTCGTTGGTGCATTATCATTGGCATTAAAAACAGCTATATTTTCTTCCATCTTAAAACAACAGTAGCAGCAACAGCAATGAACTACTGACCTACATTCCCGTCCAGAGACCCACTTGTCTCTCTGTTACTTTGTGAAGCAGTGTTCCTCTGAAGAGTAGTTTATAATGTTTTCAATTCATTTCTTACCATTCTTTCTTGAACGTACTCCACTTTTATCCCCACTGTGCCAAAATAGGTCTTATCAGGGCTTGCTAGTATCTTCTGTGTTGTAAAATTGAGTGATCTATTATCATTCCTTATCTTACTGTACCTTTTAGAAGCATTTAAAACAGCTGAACAATCCTTCCTTTGTGAAACACTTTCTTACTTTGACTTCTAGGATGCTACTCCTAATAGGAGGATGCTACTCCTAAAAGGAGGATGCTGGCTCATCTTTGTCTTCCCTACTTCTAAAATGTTGGGTGTCTCAAGATTTAATTCTGGAAACTCTATATTCACTCCCTAAAGGATCTTCTTTAGTTTCATGATTTTAAATATTGTCTACATGCTACCAATTCCCAGCTTTATTTCTCAGCCCTGACCTTCCTGCTGAATGTTGCTTATGTCTAGTTGCTTATTTAATATCTTCACTTGGATGTCCAATGGACATCTTAAACCTCATGTGTTCAAAACTGAATTCCTGATCTCCATCCCACCCTCAACCTACAGCTCCATCTTTTCACAAGCAAGCTATTAGGTTATTAAGTGTGAAATGTCTGATTTCCTTAAGTACTAAGTATGACAGTTGATATCTCTGACATTTCACTTTGATACTTCCTTTTTTTTTTTTAATTGTGAAGATACATCCTCATTCTTTCAAACACATGTTTTGGCTTGTGATTATCTTTCAAAATTTTTTTAGAGCAATTTTTGTGAAGCCATGGTTATGTCAAATATTCATATTATTTTTTAATATGAGTTCTATCATGGAACCATTGCAGTGCAGACAGCTTGAAATATCAACAAAGCGTTTGGGAAAGATGTGGCTAATGAATGCACAGTAAATCGATGATTTGAGAAGTTCCATTCTGGTGATTTTAATCTGGAAAGTGAGCCACGTGGGCAACCTGAGACTAAGGTGGATAATGATGAACTGAAAGCTATAGTGGAAGCGAATCCATCTCAACCTACACGTGAATTAGCAGCAAGGTTTGATGTTACTATTCCAACAATATTGGACCACTTGAAACAAATCAGTAAGGTAAAGAAGCTGGATAGATGGGTTCCCCATGATTTAAATGAGCATCAGACGAGAAATTATCTCGAAGCTTGCCTTTCTTTGCTGTCACAACATAAGCGCAAACCATTTCTACACCATATTCTTACATGTGATGAAAAATGGATTGTTTTTGATACTCGCAAGCAATTGGCACAATGGTTGCATTAAAGATGAAGTGCCAAAACACAGTCCAAAACTGAATATTCATCAAAAAAAGCTAATGGTGTTTGGTGGTGCAGCTCCAGTATTATCCACTGTAGCTTCATGAAACCTGGTCAGTTGATTAGAGTGGATGTCCACCAATTAGACAAAATGATGAGGCTCCTTGCAATTAAGCAGCCAAGATTGGTCAGTAGAGACAGGCCACTCCTCTTGCAAGACAACGCTGCTCAAACTACAGAGGCTGGACTTGGAAACTCTTTCATCCACTGTATTCACCAAACCTTGCACCAACTGACTATCACTTCTTCCATGCTTTGGACCACTTCCTGCAAGGAAAAATACTCAATTCTCAACAAGCTGTGGAAAACGCCTTTTGTGATTTCATTGCCACACACTCTCCAGGCTTCTTTGCTGCTGGCGTAAACAAGCTACTGTTAAGATGGCAAAACTGTTCAATAGTTTAGGCCTGCAGACTGGTCCACAGCCTGTTAGGAGCCCGTCGGCAGCTGCTCCCCATTGCTTGCATCACCGCCTGAGCTCTGCCTCCACTCCAGCCTACCCCCCATTGGCTGTGGAATATTGTCTTCCATGAAACCAGTCTCTGGTGCCATTAAGGTTGGGAACCAGACTAGGAATGTGAGAGTTAATAAGGATAAGATATGTAATTTTTGCTGGACTCAAAAAAGTTTTTTTTCAAGTATAGTTTGTAGAGAAGTAGAAAACTGTAGCATATTTTTGGCTGAATATGAGTTAACAGCATAATAGAACTACTCGAAAAGCTACTGTGATCTTACATTCAGTTATTATGATAGTGATAGCAAACATGTAGCACCTCTTACATGTTGGGCATTGTTCTAGGCACTTTACACAGATTAGCCCATTTAATCAGAGTAATACTTCTATGGCGTTGATAGGATGATTATTCCAGTTTTACCAGATCTTAGCAAACTGAGGCACAGGGGTTTTAGTACATGGATGTGTACATCAAATAACTGGAGTCAGTCATAGCGTGACTTGAGTGGTGAAAGGTTAAAAAACCAAGTTCTGGGGAGTGGTTGAAAGAATTAAGGGTTCTTACTAGAAAAGGGGACTTTGCAGCTCATGATAGCTGTTCTGAAATTTAAAAGATTGTTTAATGGAAGAGGTTCTATGGTGTAGAATTAGGTCCAGTAGGGAAAAGTTACAGTGAGGTAAGTATAAGGAAGACATTTTTAGTAGTTTGATGAATGGTTTTGAAGATGGAATGGGACACTTTTTGAGTTTTCTCTACTGGAAGGGTTTAAATCAAAATCAAGGTTGAATGACCATTTTGGAGGAGGTTCTTGCACATGGCACTATTAAGGGACTACTGAGTCTCACAGGTTTCTGTGTAGCTTCTCTCACTGGATGTCTGCCTATGCTCTGACCGTCTTCCCTTTACTGTGTTCATTAAGTATGTATAATAAATCAGAATGTAGATTAAGAGGATGAGAGGTCTAATTCTATTGCCAGTTTGTCTAGGGAGATACTACACAAAGTTTTAAAATCACAAGATTTTACAATCCTATTAAAAATTGAAATGAGACTAGATTATTCTGGGTAATTGTATTAAGCTGTTAGTGTTAGATCATCAAAGTGTTGATTGGTTATTGGGCCTAGGAAAAACCCCTTTTAACATATGTGAGAGGTTATCATAAATTTTGTTAATTTATTAACAGTATTGAAAAGCTCTTTTTTATCAAGATATAATTCATCATAACATTCACCATTTTAAAGTATATGGCTCAGTAGTTTTTATTATATTTACAAGGTTGTACAACCATCAGTACTATCTAATTCCAAAACATTGTCATCATCCCAAGGATACCTCTATTTCCATTAGTAGTCATTCCTCATTTTACCCTTTCTCAGCCTGTCGCCTATCAAGTTTTCTGTCTCTATAGATTTACTTATTCTGGGTATTTCATATAAATGGAATAATATAATGTGTGGCTTTTTGTGTGTGGCTTTTTCACTTAGCATAGTGTTTTCAAGGTTTATATATTAATATCTTATAGTTTGAACTAATATTTCATTCCTTTTTATGGCTGAATATTCTATTGTATGGATATATCACATTTTGTTTATTCATCAGTTGTTTCCATTTTTTTGGCTATTGTGAACAATGCCACTTTGTACAAATATTTGTGCGAATATATATTTTCAGTACTCTTGGATATATACCTAGGAGTAGAATTGCTGGGTCATACAGTAACTCTGTGTTTAGCTTTTTGAGGAACTGCCAAACTGATTTCTACAGTGGCTGTACCATTTTATATTCCCATCAGCTGTGTGTGAAGTTCTAATTTCTTTATATCATAATTAACATTTGTTATTTTCCTTTGGGGGGAGTATAGCCATGCTAGTGAGAAAATCTCTCATTTTAAAAAGTGTTAAATTTTGCAGCCTATAATCCTAGCATTTTAGGAGGCCAGGGCAGGAGGATCACCTGAGCCCAGGAATTCAAGACCAACCTGGGCAACATAGCAAGACTCTGACTGTACAAAAAATTTAAAAAATTAGCCAGATGTGGTGGCATGTGCCTGTAGTCTCAGATACTTAGGAGGCTGAGGTGGGAAGATTCCTTGAATCCAGGAGTTTGAGGTTACAGTGAACCAGGATTGGACTAATGCACTCCAGTCTGGGTGGTAGAGTTAGACCCTGTCTCTAAAAAATATTATAATAACAACTTTAAAAAGTGTTAAATTTTGCTATGTTGCATTCTAAATGATCAAACACCGGTAAGTTAACTTCTTAGTTGATTAGAGTTGATTAGAGTATTATATAAATCAAGGCCATGTTGTGGGTTTATTGTTTGCTGTGTAAACAATTACTGTAACAGGCCCAGATTTCTCACAAGTAAATGCTTTTGGTTACAAGGGAATTATACTATATCTTCCATCCTTGGAAGAATAAGTCAAAGTGTATTTCCTGCTAATAAGCCAGTTAGCAGGATAACCTTGGCATAAAAATGACATTTAATTGCTCTCATGTGTATGTCTTTTCCTCTCCCCCCCATCCTTTTCTTTCATTTATTCATTTCTTGCCCCAGCTACTAAAGATTTGAGATGATTTTCATTAAGATTATATATTCTGGAATAATGATAAAATAGCTCTAAGAATAGAATCAGAACCAGAGAAAATATGAATGGAAGAAGGAAATCAAGGAAATTTTACATCGAAAAATATCACAGGGGTAATATAATTGTATTGTTGATTATCATGTTCTACTGTCAGCTTATCTAGCAAAGTTACTAAAAAGAAACATAGTCAATACACATCTTAATTTCATAATTTTTCTCCCAAGAAGCAAAGCTTTTTATAGCACTGTTAAAAGTTTTATTTTAGGTGAGGCTTTATATAGTGGCACTAAACATGAGAGTTATCCTCAATAAAGCAGCAGTAGCATGAATATAGTTTTTAATTGCAATATACTAATGTGGGGCTATAATCATATTTGTCAAACATTTGTGAATGTCTCTTGCTGTTTATTTTATAGATACTATAACTCTAGTTTATAATGATTATCTTTTTTCTTTAATCATTTTTTTCTTACATTTGTTTACTGTGTTTTCCAGAATATATACATTGAAGTGTGGGACAAGATATTTATTTAATTTCTGGTAAGTCAGTGACTGTTTTAGAGAGTGAATTAATGAAATAATTGTACAGCTATATTTTCAGTCATTTAAGATTTAAGAAAAATTTTCTATAAGATACTATAAGATACTGACTATATGATATATGATTTCTATAAGATACTATAAGATACTGACTATATGACTATAAGATACTGAGAAATTTTTTTTTGTATAATGTTAAAAGAACAGGCAGCTTTTCTGTAAACCTGTTTCTCTGTAAAAGACAATATCCATAAATGTATGTCATCATTTCCTAAAGAATTGGGTTACTTTTATTGAATCAGATATTAATGTTTTCTTGTATGTAAAACAATTATTTCAGCATGACCTTGTTTAAGATCCAAATGTTCAACATGATCCATTTAAGATATGAGTCAAATTATTAAGATCAATTTGAAATCTCATTCCTCATCAGCTTTGTTTTCCTGTCTCAATTGTAGCTTTACTTTCCTTTCTCAATTATAACAAGTTATTTCAAAGGCTAAACACAACATGCTTCATGAGCAGACAGATGAAACCTTATAATTTTCACATTTAAATATGCAGCAAAGTTAACCATTAACAATCTACTCATTTTTGATATTAAAAAAGTACCCAATATAGTATTTATGTAGACTAAAACATTTAACTTTATAGCTGTGAAGAGAATAATACTGGATTATTTTTTCCTTCTAGTGTCAAAATTGAAGACCTGCTATGTGAATGAAGAAAGAGACTGAATTTGTCACTTTCCCCTAAAGAAAAATGATAGACAAAAACCAAACCTGTGGGGCAGGACAGGATTCTATGCCCTATATGACTTGTCTGATTCACATATTCGAAGAATGGTTTGGTGTGGAACAATTGGAAGACTACTTGAATTTTGCAAACTATCTCCTGTGGGTTTTTACACCACTAATACTTTTAATACTTCCTTACTTTGTTGTCTTTCTTCTCTACCTTACTATTATTTTCTTACACATTTATAAGAGAAAGAATGAATTAAAAGAAGCCTACTCTCATAATTTATGGGATGGTGCAAGAAAAACGGTGGCAACTTTGTGGGATGGACATGCAGCAGTTTGGCATGGTAAGCAAGGATACTTTGATCTCTGTGTTGCTATTCATGTGTGTGGCACCAAAATTACATTATTATTCTATTTTATTGTTTGAGAAGATTCTGAAAAATATAATGGAAATGTTTACTGTTCCCTGTTATCTATTTGTATACATTGTGCATATGTATATGTCTTTTTTAAGATGATTTTTCCCAAACATATTAGTTTCCATTAAACAAAGATCCACACAGCATTGTAGACTATTGCTATAAGTTGAAATATGAAAATTTATATTTAAAACACCTAAAAGAGAAGAGACTAAAACTGTTTAGAAAACAGTTTTAAATGCTTTATTTAGCATTTACTTCTGTTCAAAATAAATTTGACTTTACCAGAGATTTTTTTAATGAAATATTAAATAATTGTGATATAACATTAAATGTAATTTGCATACCAAAATTTACTCATTTTGTGTTTAATTCATCTCAAGGTCAGTGTGACTTTCTGAATAAATGAGATAGCAATACATTTCTCTCTAAAATAGTCATTCTTTTCTTTATTACTTGAGAGATTGTGATGCTGTATACTTATTGATTGGTAGTTTTTCTTCATTTGGCCATCCTGAAAATTTCCATTCAGTGACCTATTTTCAAGGGCTTGATGATTTTCTCTACCAATTTTTATTTTATTATTTTACCAGTACCTTATTTGTCGGTCTCTTTTGTTTTTAGACTATATAAACATACTGAAGATTCAATAGGCATGTAATGAAGATTGCCTTTCTGTATTATGTTGTTGAGAATCAACGTGGTTTCACAGAAGGACAGGGAAGAAAGCACAGGCTTTGAAATAGACATTTTAGGATATACGTCACTAGTAAAGATCACCAATGACATGCTTGTTATGAGGCTAATGTGTCGTCATTTTAATACTATATGCATATTTACATACCTACAAATCTTTTTTGAGCACTTACTCTGCCAGACATAATGTACATTAACTCCTTTAAGCCTTATAACATAATAGATAAATTCTATGTGCCATCTCCATTTTACCCATGAGGAAATTGAGGCACAGAGAGGTTGTTATTTGCCCAAGGTATACTAGGAAGCAGAGCCAAGATACAACCCCAAACATCTGGCTTGTAAGTCCTATGCTCTGTGCTGTGTAAGTCTGTCCCAGTTTGGGGATTTGAGACCAAAAGTCGTGTTCAGCAGGTATACAAACAGGAACCATATGCCTTTGATATGTCAAATTCTTAATATTTACTCATTACAACTAAAGCTCCTGCCAGTTAATACAATTCTTATAACCTCTTGTTTTCCATGAGGCAATATGATATTTTAGCACTCCCTGGGTACATGTCTGCAGAGACTGCATCTGTGTAGACTGCTATTGTGCATTGTCTTTAAAACAGTGATATAAAAATTTAGTGGTGTCATTTATAGTACTTTTGAGAATATTTATCTCCCTCCCGTGTATATACCCCTTATGTTTCAAGATATAGAATGTAAAGAATTTGAATTTATTTATATTTCAGGAGACATGGTTTATTTTAGATAAATTGCTAAACTTATTTTATAGCAGTATATATAATTTTGAGCTATTTTAAAATATGCACATATGGTTCAGAGGTAGTAAAATATATAGTTCTTAGTCTGTTTTAATGTTATAACTTAATAATATTACATTTTATTAGGATAAGTGATACTTTTTTAAAAATTGATTTTTCTTTATCCTATTCTTTAGTGACATAAATAGAAAGGCATTTGTGTGTATATTTGGATTTTGTATTGACGCCAAATCAGTATTTGTTTTTTTTAAAGAATCTGTATAGGAGTTTAAGGGATGGGGCCTTGCTATTATGTTGCCCAGACTGGCCGCATACTCTTAGGCTCAAGTAATCTTCCCACCTCAGCCTCTCAAGTAGCTGGGACTACAGGCACACATTATTTTAATAATAAAAATGTTCACCGTAGAAAGTATAGCAAAATTATAAGGAAGAAAATAATCACCTAAAATTTATCATACAAATGAGTTCTGTTAAAATTATGGTCTGTTTATCATTTTTATATATGTGTGGTAGACTAGTATTTATCATGTCACTAATCCTTTTTCTTAAATAAGACTTTTAATGATGGCATGAATTTCTATTCCTGTAAGTAATTTAATTAGTTACCTATTAAATATCTTTGTACAGGAATCTATCCAATGTTTTCTATTTTAAAGTTAAATTTTACCCTCATACTGTGTATAAGTGCTCTATGATTTTTCAAAAAATTCTGTGGTTCTTAATTTGCTGTGTAACATATTGCCTACACTACATCAAGAAACGTTAATTTGATGTTTCTTAAGTACCTACATTTCTAGGTAGTTTGCTTGATGATGGGTTGATGCAGTCTTTATCCTCATTGGATAATCCTCAAAGTTGCTTACAGCCTTTAAACCATAAAAATTTTGGCTCAATTTTCAAAAGACATTATTTCTGGAAAATATGAATAGCATTTTAAAAAGCTGAACTCTTAATATTTACTGATTTCCCCTGAAAATTAATATGATGAGGAAGAGTCCTAAATAATATATACAGGTGTTTTTGAGAAGAAGTAAAAACTTCACATTTTAGTATAACTGTAAAGGTAATTAGCACCATAACTTTTACTTCAGAGAAATAAGGAATATTTTATTTTAGGACTTTTAGTTGCCTGTTTTATCTTGTTTTATTGTGTGTGTGTGTTATTGTGGTTTTGTTTTTGTTTTATAAGGGAATTTAATTACCTCATTATCTGAAAATAATGCTTATGTATACTTACCACCGACATTTTAACATCAATATATTGGCAACATAAAATTTTGAGGAAATGCAGTGGTTTGATTAATTAGGTAGTCTGATCATATGGCTTATTATTTATATTATATGAGTTACTGATTTTAAAAAAATAGACCACAGTAGCACAAACTGTAAACTTTATTTTACATAATATTTTATTATTTTTTATAGAAATGGACATAATCCCTTTTAGTGAATGTGGTTTAACATAGGTCAAACCATATATGGCAAAGTTATTTTTGGAAAATTAAATTAGGGTATTAAGACAACATTCTTCTTTACTTCAGTTGGGTAAGAGTTTCTTTTTACTTTTGTCCTTACAGTGAAGGACTCAGACTGCTTGAGGTCAAAATCAGGTTCTCCTCAGTTACTGCCTGGGTGACCTTGGGCAAGTTACTTAGCTTTTTTTTTCTTCCTTCCCTTCCCCTTATACAAGAATTGTGATTTTTTAAAAAATTCAGTTTGAATAAAATCTAGATTTACAAAAAAGTTGCAAAAATAGTTCCAAGAGTTCCCATACTTCATCCAGCTTCCCCTTATGTTAACATCTTATGTATAACCATTGTAAATTTTTCAAATTCTCTATTGTATCATTGTATACAATGATACAATACTATTAACTACAGATTCATCTCAAATTTTACAGTTTTCCCACCAGTGTTCTTTTTTTTGCATTTAGTTATCATGTTTCCTCTAGTCTATGACAGTTCCTTATCTATCTGTCCCTCCCTCCCTCCCTCCATCTCATGACTTTGGCCCTTCTGAAGAGTACTGGTCACTTATTTTATAGATTATCTCTCAATTTAGATTTGATGTTTTCCATAATTAGATTGAGGTCATGCATTTTTTAAAAGAATACCAAAAAGTTGACATGTTCTTCTCAGTGCATTATAGCAGAGGGTTCATGATACTGATGTTTCTTACTACTGGTGGTATTAACTTTGATCATTTGATTAAGGAGGTATCAGGTTTCTCTGTTGTAAAGTTACTATTTTATTTATATTGTAATTTATAAGTGTGTAGGGGAAACAATTTTAAAACTATGTAAATAAGCTTCTCCTCAGACAAGATACTTAACTTAATCTCATTTTCTTCTATAAAGTGGGTTGTTACAAGGATTCAGTAAAATTTCATGTAAAACATTTAGCATAATTTCTGTTACATACTAAGTTTCAATAAATGTTAGCTATTGTAATTATAGAGCATCTTTCTTCAATAATTTGGAAGACACTAAAATATATCTTCTACCTCTTGACTATTCTTATTAAGTACTCAAAATACAGATTTAGGTTATCTAAGTTTTGACTATTATTCCTACTAGCAAGAAATGAATTCTGCCATCCAGTATACTTATACATGTATATACTGTGTCATGAAAAGTATCTGGTTGACCCTTGAACAACAAAGGGTCAGGGGCCCTGTAGTAAAAATCTGTGTATAAATTTTGACTCCCCCACAACTTAACTGCTAATAGCTTCCTGTTGCTTGGAAGCCTCACCGATAACATAAACAATTGATTAACATATTTTGTACGTTATATATATCATATACTGTCTTCTTATAATAAAGTAAGCTAGACAAGAGAAAATGTTAAGAAAATCACAATGAAGAGAAAATATATTTACTATTCATTAAGTAGAAGTGGGTCATCATAAAGGTCTTCATTCTCCTTGTCTTCGCATTGAGTAGGTTGAGGAAGAGGAGGGGTTGATGTTGGCTGTCTTGGGTGGCAGAGGTGAAAGAAGATCCTTATAGAAGTGGACTCGCACAGTTCAAAACTGTGTTGTTTAAGGGTCAACTTGAAAACTTGAAAATCAAAGGTGTAGTTTAGCATGTATAGTTGTCCCTGGTATCTTTGGGAATTGATTCTGGGATCTCCCACAGATTTGGGTATCCATGGATGTCAGGGTCCCTCATATATTAATAAAAGTGGCATAGTGTTTGTATATGACCTATACAATCCTCCCTTTAAATCATATCTAGATTTCTTAATAATACCTAATACAATGTAAATGCTATGTAAAAAGTTGTTATACTGCATTGTTTAGGGAATAATGACAAAAAAAGTCTGTAAATATTCAATACAGATATAATTTTTTTCCCAAATATTTTGATCCTCAGTTGAATCCACAGATACGGAACCGTGGATACAAGGGCTGACTGTACATACCTGTAGCTGGATGTGTGGTATGCAGCAAGAATATGGATTTTAAAGTTAGGCAAATATGGGTTTTGCATCCTGGCTCCACTGTGTGGCTTTGGGTAGGGCATATGGGTTTTTCACACTGAAATTTTTTCATCTGTGGAAGGTTTTTGTGAGGGTTTTGTGACAATTATTAAGGTCCAATACTTGTGCATCTGTTATAATTACTGGGCATTTATGTTTCCTGATCACTCACACTGTTAGGCCATTTTTAGTTGGAGTTTTTTCTTACTAATTTATTATTTTGGGGACTAGAAGATGAGTCATTTGTGGGCGAGAGGTACTGTTACCAGCCTGGGCCCTTGGGCTACATAATAGAAATTAACAAGAGATCCGAACAAGAGTAACAGGCAAAGCTTTATTGGGAGACAGCACAAATGAAAAAGTCCTCAGCCTGGCTCCCTGAGGGGAGTTCAGGGAGAGTTTCTTTAAGGATGCTTTAGGTGGCAAAAGGGTGATATGTAAGCATGTATATAGGTGGAGATTTTTTGCATCTGCACGGTTCTATTACATGCTTCTTCATGCATTGTATGTCTCATTAGCATGTTAAATCTCCACCCCAGGGCATAATTTCGAGCATTAAAATGAGATTATAATAAGGAAAAAGTCAGGATAAGGTCAGTATGGGGGTCTGTTCTGGCTTTAGGAGAATAGGTGTGGTTTCTCTGCAGCCAGGTGTCTTATCAGCTTACTTCAATATCTTGTTCCAGTGGTCCTGAAAAATAATACAATACAAATGATTTAGCCCTTTCCTTATGTGGGTACGGGCTGCATTCTGGTGGTTAGGAGACTATTTGCTTCAGCAGTTAATCAGGCCAGATTATGTGGACTTCCATAGTCAGTGGTGAGGGACCCAACCAAGTCCTGTCCCTATGGTGTCTCAGTATTATGAGTTGTGAACCTGGAAATGTAAACAGAAGACAGGTTAGAGAGTCTTGAACGCTGTGCTTAGGAATTGGGACTTTATCTTGTAGATATTTTTTAGTTCTGTTTGCTGTCCTGAGGAATATCCAAAAGGGTGGCATCCTTGTTAATTTTTTTCTATAATGTGTAGGTATGTAGGCTAAAAAAATGGATTTTTGGTGACAGATTTTGAAGGGATCTATCTCTTGGGAGGTTTTCTGAATTCATGATACTGATGTCTAAAGCCAGAGGCAATTAACTCATTTACATAATAAATCCTTGCCATGGAGAGGAACTACTTGTGCTCCATGTAGTCTTCAAATCCTTTCCCTGAAGTCTAAGTTACATGGGAAGCTGAAAAATCAGGAAGTGCTTAGTGAGTATGGGATCAGAGCAGGGTTGGTAAGTAAGTTTCTACTTAATGGTATCAAATAAGAGAACCATGTAAAGGACAGTGGTTAAGTTAATCTTATCTGGAGGAGGATAAAAAAGGAAAGCCAGGAAGCCAGCCTGGAACTGGGCATATGTTAGAGGAAACCTCCAGAGATCATTCGCTCCCCATGTCTACCACTCTTTTTATCTTGTCATTTGCTTCTCTTGCTGAAACCCTTGCTCCTGCTTACAGAGACTTGGAATAGGATTTGGCAGGAGGTAGGGGGAAGCGATGGCATGAGTCTCTAATCTCACTTCTACTACAGGAGAGATTTTCCTGACATCCAGTTCAAATCTCTGATCACAGTTTTTTCCTACATGTAATAAGATTCAACAAAATCATTTTTGTTTTTTAATGACTAGAATGAAGGAATTTCTAACAAATATATAAAAATGAGTCTTATGTTTGTGAATGAAATGCAAGTTTGCAGCATTATTAATATTACAGTATCCATGTATATGGTATAGTTTAAATGGCATTTTATTTTGCATTGGGTCACTCAGTTTTCCTGTTTTTATTAGTGAATTATTTTGTGATTCACTTTAAGATTTGTCCGAGGTCATATTATCTCAGGAAAAACTGAGAAAATTGTAAAATTTTACTCTATATTAAGCTTACAACAAAGGATCCAGATTGTTCTAAGAAGCTAGCAGTTTCAAAAGTGTGTTTGATGGCTCAGAGTTGTGTGATTCCTTGGACATCTTTGACTAACATCTAATCTGTAGCTCTCATTCAAGTTTAAAGACTTTCTGTTTGGCTCCTTTTTAATTTTTCCATCTCTCTGCTGAAATTCTTGATCTGATTTTGCATATATGTACCTTTCCGTTAGATTCTTTAACTTATTAATCAAAGTTATTTTATAGTTCCCATCTGATTTTCATCATGTCTGTTGATTGCTTTATCTCTTGATAGTGGATTTTTTTTAATTGCTGTTTTGTATGTCTCATCACTTTTGATTGAAATCTAGGCATTACTTATAAAAAAACAGTAGTGATTGAGATAAATAGTATTTATAACCGAAAATTAGCACTCGTCTTCTGTCAGGCCATTAGCGATCAGTTGGGGGTTGATTTAATCTCTTGAGTAGTTGAAGTGAGTTTGGGTTTTATTATTGCTGTAGTTACCTTAGTTCAGCACAGACTTGAAACTCCTACTATTTTCTTCTGCACAGCATAGAGCCTGGAGTACCAGAGGGTTTTTCTTGGTGTTTCTGCTCCACCCTCAGTCCTGTATGCCTCTGCCATAGAAGGGATCTCTTTTCATGCTCCTGCCCCAACCCCAAGAAAGTTCACCTTTGCTTATAACTCCATGTGAGGGTGCAGTGGGAACCAGGGTTGGGGGGTTACTTTTCAGTTTTCCTGGTTTAGCTACAATCTTATTAGCTCCCATATTCTTGTGGCCCAGGGGTGAGGCTTTTCAGCATTCATTTCTTCCCTATAGCAGGCAAACTTTGTCTTGTACAGGTGGGGGTTTTGTGATGGGAGCAAGTTTGCTGCCCTTCCCTCCAGCAGTAGATCTCTACTTTATGTCATTTTGGGACCCTGAGCCTAAGGGATTTCCTGATGCCCACCTTTTGCTTCCCAGCAACAGATATTTACTTCTACCCCTTCCCTAGGAATAGTAGACTTTTGCCTGATGGTGGGATGATGGAGGAGTGTGTGGGGGTTGGCTTGGAGTTCTGTCCCTCCCAGCATCAGATGCATATGCCCTTTTCTTAGAGGGAGTGGAAAGGTTTCCTGCACCTCTCCTGGTTTATGACAGGTTTTGCTTTTATGAGAGAGACTTCCAGGAAATGAGTGGAGGTTTGTTCTCTTAATCACTATCAGAGGCTGTCTTTTGTCTCCTGCCTCACTCCTAATTTTTCCTGTGAGGCTTGTAGGGGAGATATGGAGAATGAGTGTGTCTGAGGCTCCCAGGGATTCTTCACTTAATGCTAGCCCACACTTGGCCTTGAAGTATTTGTTGACATTTCAGGTCTTTCCTTAGAGGACCTTGTCACCCTTTGGAATTTAGTTTACCTGTTTGCTTGTGATCTCTGCTCTCTGACATGCTCAAAAAAATTAGAAATTTGTAGACTAACTGTCCTTTTCTCTTCTTTAGAGTAGTAGTAATGTTCTCTTGTGGTTGCAGTTTATTTTAGTTCCCTCCTTTTCTATTTTTTCAACCTCTCCTCCAACAGCTGAAAACCTGGGTCATCTCATCCTTAATATGTAGACTTGTTTGATCAATTCCCCTGTATATAACTAATCTCCCATCATTGCTACCATCTCCTACCATTCATGGGTACCCTCTTTTCCGTACCTGTGCTCTGACATCCTGGGCCAGGCCACCACCCTGCATGGTGCCCTCCTCACCTGCTCAGGCTGTGGTGTCCCACACCAGGCCACCTCTCCACACAGGTGCCTGCTTTGCTCTGGCCTACCTTAGTGGCTGTAGGACTGATTTGTTCGTGAAAGAGAAGGAGAAAGAGAGAGGGAAGAAAGGAGAAAAGGGGAAGGGAACCAGGAAGACTCATGTACTTTTGTAAGAAAAGACAGATCTTCTAAGTTACTGACCATCCTTTAGTGTAAATAAACTTATAAATGTATTTTAAATATCTGCATTTTTGTTTTTCAAACAGGTTATGAAGTTCATGGAATGGAAAAAATACCAGAAGGACCAGCACTTATAATTTTTTATCATGGAGCTATCCCCATAGATTTTTACTACTTGGTGGCTAAAATTTTAATCCACAAAGGCAGAACTTGCCGAGTAGTAGCTGATCACTTTGTCTTTAAAATTCCAGGTAAACTTTCACTGTAGATAGTGATATAAATATGTTTAATTAACATGACCCAATTATACGGTAGTCTGTTTTGAGCTCTTTAGTATGATTTGAAAAACTTTTTGCCTTTTTTAGGGTATAACACACTTGAAACTCTAATTAGGGCATATCTTCTTGGCTCTGTCAAAGAGAAAAAAATAAATAAGTATAATTTTAAAAAAAGTAAAAAAAAATAATTTGGGAATATCAATTATCCTGTTTAGATAATAATCTAAAAATAAAACTTATGGCCAAAATGTTATCTAATTTATTTCTTTATTAGCAAGTATTTAGTCATTATTTTTGTAAGTTACATCCTTATATGTAAATAACTTTTGTTTACATCTCTATGTGTACATAAATGTAATTTTGTCAATTTATATTTTGGTGTAGAAGGTAGTTGATTTTCATTGCTGAATTTTTCTACGACATACTGATTTTTGGAGTTTAATTTGCTGTTATTAGAGTGTGATAACTGCGGTTTGATAGGAATCAAACTTAGTAAAAACAATTTAAGATATATTTGTCTTCATATAATGATATAATACTATTTCTTCCCTGAAGAGTGGTGTGCATACATTATGTCTCTTATACAAGACTTGCCCAATAGACTTAATAACTCTAAGATTTAAGACTACATTCTTTTTATCTGTTATAAAGGCCTTTATCTTTTTAAAGATTAACAAATTGTTTCATACGTGATAGAGTTTTAAATCATTCTTGAATTCATTGGGATTAAATCTTACATTCTTCTGTCACTAAGTCACCAGAAACAAGCCAAGAAGTCGATAGAATGTTCTCAGGAATAAAAACAAAAGCCAAGCCATCAACCAGACAAACACAAACCAGTGAATTAAGTAGTGATCTACTTCGATGCCTTCCATAAACATGGTTAATGTTTTGGGTATCCTTGTGTTACTAAAAAGCCCTTTGTGTATAAACTAAATTGGCTATAAAGTCTTCCTTTAAAAAGTTAACATGGTCACTTTATAGAAGATTTGGAAACTAGAGAACAGAAGAACATCATTATAATCTTACCATCCTAAAATAGTTACTTTGATTTGTTTATTTCTTTTTAAATTTGCATATTTTCACATATTCAGACAATTTTGTTATTTAAGATTTAATACTAGCATTAACATTTTACATTAATTTGCATGTTTTGTAAGGAACAGTTTAATGTATGACTAAAATATTTACTTAACTAATTTCCTCATATGGAGCATTAGGTTACTTTCATTATTTTTTCCTTTTTATCAATAATAAAATGTGAATATTTTTAGCATTTGACTTTTTCAAAAATTTCCCCCTTTATAATCTTTTTAATATTTTGACATGATTACCTTAAGTCTTTCATTGCTTTCTGAAGGTATAAAATCATAATTCTTAGTGCAAAAGAGATTTTATATTTTGTCTTGTAATTAATGAAATCTCTTCTGTTCATTCATTCATTATGAGAATGCATTTAGTTTTAATCAGTGAGCTTTTAATATAACATAAGCTGAAAATTATTTTAATCTTAATGATATTTATAATCTTGGATCAGATCTTTAAACCAGTGAGAAGTTTGATTAGTCTGCCTAGTTTTTAGCATCCATTCCTTTATTTCCCAGTCTCAAGGAGAAATGTATTACTAATACCAGTCCTCTAAAGTTCCAGTATAGGTTTTATTAAAATATTTGATTACTGACAGGATTCTTTCATCCATAAATAGTTGTAATTTGAAAACCTGTGTAATATTAAGACTTAAAATTAGCTGTTCTTGAGTCAAACAACCTTAATTTATTAAAATCTCTTAATGATTTTTGCTATTATTAATTTATACAAATTTAATTATAGAATTAAGATCATCTAACTTTTAATGTCAATAGATTTTATTATGGTCTTGCCAGTTTTGATAGGGATAAGCATGGTCAGATTCACATTGTCTTGAGTGATTCTCTTTGTGATAGGGTTAATGGAAGATTAGATTTGTAATTGCTAATGGGATATCATTTCTCTTGCTCTAATAAATACTTTAGACAGTGTTTGGCCATGAGATGGATTTGAAAGAACTTTGGACTAGGCATACCTGGACTGGAATCTCTGCCCTGCTACTTCCTAGGTGTGTGACTTTGAGCAAGCTATTTGCTCTTGAGCTTAAGTTTCTTCATCTGTAAAATGGGGAGAAGAATCCCTGTTTTCCAAGATTCTTGTGAGTTTTAATGTTAGGTAGCCAGAGTAGTAGGGGATCAGTAAGGAGCTGATCAATAGTAGGTAGTAAGTAAGATGTAGCTATTACTTAACTAGCAATATTACTCTTATGTTAACCTTAAGAGTTTTTATTGACTTTTAAAAATAAGAGTTTACTGATTTAAGTATAGATAGTGTTAATAAATTATGTAGGTTATGAAGATTTGTGCTCTTCAAGAATTGAACAAGAAGTATTTAAGATACATCTTCATGCTCATGTTTTTTTACAGGGTTTAGTTTATTACTTGATGTGTTTTGTGTTCTACCTGGACCAAGAGAAAAATGTGTTGAAATTCTGAAGAGTGGTCACTTGTTAGCTATTTCACCAGGTGGAGTTCGAGAAGCACTAATTAGTGATGAAACCTACAACATCGTATGGGGTAATCGTAAAGGCTTCGCTCAGGTTGCAATTGATGCAAAAGTGGTGAGTTGTATAAAATTAATTATTAATGTGAAGCTTAGTTAAATTTAAAATAAATACTTTAAATAGTGAGCCAAGGTATATAAGAACTTAGATGCTTTCATTGTAATACTTTAAAAATTAGTATATATAACTATTTATAAGGTACCAATAGAGAATATTTCTTGTGCATGGGAATCCATCTTTAAACAATCAACCTGGAAATTTGGCAAATATCCAGTAAAGTTTTATTTTACATTTCAAAATCCAGCTTCTGGCCAGGCATAGTGGCTCATGCCTGTAATCACAGCACTTTGGGAGGCTGAGATGGGAGGATTGCTTGAGGCCAAGCATTTGAGACCAGCCTGGGCAAGATGGTGAGACCCTGTCTCTACAAAAAAAATTTTTTTTAATTAGCTAAGCATGGCACATGCTTGAAGTCTCAGCTACTCCAGAGGCTAAGACAGGAGGATTGCTGCTTGAGTCTAGGAGTTTGAGATTGCAGTGAGCTATGATTGTACCATTGTACTCCATGCACTCCAGCCTGGGTGGCAGAGCAAGACTGTCTCTTAAAAGAAAAAAAAAAATTCTGCTTGTTTTCATCAGATTTGTAATTTTGTACAAATAACTTTGTATTCCTTCAGGTATACTTTTCATTTTAAGTATAATCAGTCCAATTCTGTTTTTAAATTTTTGGTTATGATTGAGTTGGAATATTTCAGTGGTGGTTATTGGTTTTATTAATAGTTATGTTATCTGTGACCAATTTTTATCACAATAGGACTCACTATACTATACGACCCCTATTGTTTTTTATCAGCAAATGTGGTCACCTATTTAATAATGTGAATAAAGATAAGAGATAGATGATTGGTATAATTTAGATATTTTTAAAAGACTTTATAAATGAATTTGTCAATAAAATTAAATGTTCCTCTGGGATTCATTATAATTATCTACTTTGTAGACTGGAGGATGTGAATGCCATTTTGTTCTTTTCTTTTGCTTTTGAAAAGTATTTCTCAGCTTTTTGGTCTCCATATCGTACTTAATCCTGTGAAACGCTTATCTATTACTTATGGAATTTTTCTTGTTTGTTTTCTGTTTCTTTTTATTTTAGATTGTTAGGGGAAAAAATGCACAGTATGTTTGATAGAGTATTGTTGTTTTTCCAGGCTAATTAGAGACTGCTGCCAGTAACTTTCACATTTCAAGGTTTTTGTGTTCCCATTGCTGTCAAATGAAAAGACCAGTCTACACTCCTAGTTTGCCCATCATGCAAGTATAGACTGCTAATTAAAAGGAAAAGATTATGGATGACTCATTCTAACCCAAGAGCAGTATTTGAAGAAAAATGGATGTTTTCTCTTTACTTTTTAATTACAAAGTTTACAACAACATAAAATACATTGTCCTCTGTTCTATACATATGTTTATGTAACTCGTAGAAGTTATTACTATAGTACTTTAATAATATGATCCTAGTAAAAGTTGATGTACTTGCCCATTTTATAATTAACATAAAAATTTAAATAGTACTGTCCTGTGGTAGAAGGCTGTTCTTGTATATTTTAATCCCTTATACAGTGACCAGCATTGAGTAGAATTAAGTATTTGCTGAATTGAATTTATTTTTTCAAACACAGAATATTAAACACTAGTGGAAAGGAGCCTTTTGATTTTATGTTAATAGTGTTAGTGATATTTAATATATAGTACATTTTATTTAACCTTAAGCACAGATGCAGAAAACAAAAACTTAAGACTATATGAATGATATAGAATACAAAAGGATATATGCAGTTGTAGAAAAATTAACAAAAGTCAATGTAATGTGTGTTGAAACAATGATAAAAACTAAAAACCTAATCAAAGAAGGTTAACTTTTCAAGTTTATATTTTGAAATAAATTTTTCTTCAAAAGTTTAGGATTAAAAATGATAAAAATTGATTTGAAATCACACAAATGTATCATAGGATTCTAATTCCTCATCTTAAATTTACAGTTTTGAGCAACATATTGTTTGGAAGAAGGCTTAAAAGAAAGACATGATATGGAGAAAAAAACCTGTTTTTGTGACCGTTGAGTTTTTAGATAATTAAAATAATCTAATTTAAAATTTTTGTACAAAATTTCAGAAAATTTAAGAAATAGCCTTTTATAAGCTTAAAACAAACAAATCTTTAATGCTACAAACTTATAAAATACCAGTATAAGTTTGATTAATATTGTACCACCCCAACATCTTGTAGTACTTTTGAAAGCTTTGTCTTGGTACTCCTGTGCAGTGAGGAGGTGACATATGCAATTATTCCGATGTTACAGATGAGACTCAGGCACAGAGAGCTGGAGGGATGGAAGGGATCTGGTCATACAGCAAGGCAGCAGCAGAGCAGAGCACAGTTCAGGACTCGAGGCAACTGGTGCTGTTGCCATCCCTGACTACATTTCACAGTGAGTCTGCTGACATCCGAGACTGTGATGGCTTCCTAGATTAGTGAGGGAAATCTTTCAGTAATATACATATATAGTTGTAAATGGCACAAGTGTCCCATCTGGAAAATCCCTTAATAGGCCTCACAAAATCACCATAAGATATGAGCAAAAATTTGACTATGGTTACAGGATTAACTGCATTCAAATTGTGACACAATAATAGAAATTAAAAAGGAAGAGTCAGATTGTCAATTTATGTACACAAAACATTGGTAGAAAATATTTAAGATTTATTTGAAAGTGACAAACTTTGATATAATATAAATCACTCTTGTGAATTCCTGAGAATTTTGACTTTGATAAGAAATTTTTAACTAACTTTATATCTAAGTTGAGGAAAATTAGCCTAATTAGAAAATAAATAACAGATGCAAAAGAAAATAGTATTGTGTTTCAATAAAGTTGTTTACATGAATTGTCTTAATCTATAAAAAAGTTTGAGATAGGGAAAATTATTATTTATCCTCCCTTTACACATGAAGAAAGTGAGGCTGAAACATGGTAAGTAACTTGTGCAATGGTTCCTATATTTTTAGTGGCAGAGTTAAAACTCTAAGATCATGCTAAACTGATTCCCCAAGAATAGTTTTTAAACATTCACATTCACTCTTTCTCTCTCTTACATACATGCATACATACACATACATACAGAGACACATTTATTTATGTAAACAATCGAATTCTAGGTTACTAATACAACTAACTTGTATACAAAGTGTGCATAAGGAAGGGAGTGAATAATTGTACTACAAGATCAAGTTGTAATAAATCGATGTTTGTGCCTGTAAGGATTCAAGCAAGCTTGAATGCATAGAAACCATATGCCCAGACTATAGTCTGGAACACTGATCCTGCTAGGATAAGCTTTCTCCTATTTAGTAGACTCTAGAAATGTCCGGCCTCCAGAGCATTAGCTGTTTAAGGAATGATGTTTAACCCAAATAGTCTTTAAAAAGTGCATACTTCAGGACAGACTTTCTAGGATCATGCCAGTCAGTAAACATAACTCCAGCAGTGCTTGTCAGAGGAGACAAAATGGTGTACATGTGAGCTGGAAGATTTCTGTTCTTTCTTGGACATTTTAAGTTCTCAACGCTAAGGACATTTTATTTATAACTACTTAAAACATTAGGATTTCAGCCATCATTTTTTTTATAAAATTAGTGGTGATTTCCTAGATCATAATCTGAATGTTCTACTGAAGAGTTCAGCATACTTTATCTTCTTATGTGTTAGCTTTGTGAATTAACTCCATCAAATTTTAAATTGTTCATCTGGCTGCTTTTCTTTACCTGAGTTCTCTCTTTTTCCTAACTGGTTTGAGATTGTTGCTTCGTGTTTCTGAACTTTGTATTCAAAGTTCAGAGGGTATGGATTCAGAGGGTATGGATAATTCATTAGAAGCATTATCTCTCTTCTCTGTTTATTAATTTTCTTTAATTCATCCATCACACTTTCTTTTAGCACCTGGTCTGTTGCAGGTATTGTTCTAAGTGCTGGAAATACAGCAGTGAACAAAACAATGTCCCTGCAATATATAAGGTGTCTTCCTGCTGGTGAGACGGGAGAGACAATAAAATAAATGATCAGTTAGTTACATGTAAGGTGGTAAGTTTTATGAAGAAAGCTATACCTGTAGTCTCTTTCCATCAGCCCACCATATCTTATTGTTTTCCAAAGCTGATAGGAACAACTGTAAATATCAGCTTATTTAAATATCTCAAACCCTGCTCGTTAAGCAAGTAATAGGCATAGACTGATGGTCGATTGTAGTATGATACTCTCCCCACACTTTTATCTATTCTAAAAGATCATTTAATTCAGTATATTACGTGTATATTTTAAAGTGTTTCATTCAATTTTTTGTCTACTTCATTTGTTTACAGTGGCACAATCTCCTTATATGATATTTCAATACTTCATTATTTTATGATTTTAAAGTCTTCATTATTAAAAATTATAATCATTGATATTCATGGAAAATTAAAAATCATGAACTTGTGAACAAAAATCCCCTAAATGAACAATATGAAGAATTCTTTAATTTTTTCCTTTTTTTTTTGCCATGTCTTAATGCTTACTTTTCATTGATGCTGAACATTTTAGATTTAATAGGCTCACAAAAAATTTCACTAATTCCATGACAGCATCTTGCCAAAACCTGTCATTTAAATTTATATAAATTTCTCTTTAGAGTGACTCTTTCTCTACCTTGCAACTTTTCTTCAGTGATCATGCTATTCAGTAGCCCACTAAAACCAATTTAATTTACCACATTCATTTTACTTAATGAAGTTAATGATTACTGGAATCTCTATTTGGGTTTCTAGGTTTTAATGTGGAATGTTAGGAAAATTGGTAAATGAAATATTATGCATTACCACTGGAGGGTAGTATTTCCAATTTTTATTTTCACAAATGATCAAGTTGAATTTAGCCTGATAGTCAAGCATGTCTTTGTTTTTAAAATATCTTATTTTCATAACCTCAGGCCCTTAAAAGTGTGCATTAGGGGGTAATCACTGCATGATTATCCCCCATGCAACGCTAATAAATTTGTATGCCTATTCTCTTAAAAAAAAAGTTTGTATTACTCAATGGAGACATTGATTAATGGATTATTTACTGTTTAATTCAGATTCTCCTTTTCTTTAGCCCATTATTCCTGTGTTTACACAAAATATTCGAGAAGGATTTAGATCACTTGGAGGAACAAGTAAGTTCTGATTCATACAATTTTTAATTACAATGCAATATTTAAAATATTTGGGTTTATAAAACCCTATAAGGAATCCTTTTGAATTATGAAGTTTAGAAAATGGATATATTTTTTACATATTTTTCTACTTAAAATGTAAATGAACCAGGTGCAGTGGCTCATGCCTGTAATCTCAGCACTTTGGGAGGCCATGGTGGGAGGATGGCTTGAGGCTAGTAGTTCAAGACCAGCTTGGGCAACGTAGTGAGATCCTGTCTCTACAAAAATTAAAATTAGCCTGGCATGGTGGTGTGTGCCTATAGTCCTAGCTACTGAGAAGGCTGGGTGGGAGAATCACTTGAACCTACCATTCTGAAGATACAGTGAGCTCTATGATCACACTTTTGCATTCTGGCCTGGGCAAAAGTGCAATGCAAGACCTTGTCTCTAAAATAAATTAATTTAAAATAAAAAGTCTAAATGATAACTTGTTCTAAGTAATGGTAGTTCTTAGATGTTATATTTTTGTTGAAAGTATCATACATACTGAAGCTTTTTAAATGAGCTTTTTAAAATTTTGGAGCAAATTGTCTAATATATTGTGTTAAACCATGTTGATGAGGTTTAGAACAAATTTACAAACTCTCCAAACTATCTTTTTAACTCAACCCAGAAGTTACAGCTTTAAAAATGGATGACAATATGATAGTGAATTAAGATTAACTGCCTAAGGAAGTATCATTTGCTTTGGTTTATTTCTGTCACTCTTCTTCTTCTTCTTTTTTTTTTTTTTAATATTTTGAACCATAATACACTTACATTGAAAATTTTTTTACCTATTTTTAATTTATTGATTAAAATAAACTTTTAATCCAGTTATAGGAGTATTAATGATTGTGCTTTTTCTTTGCAATGTCTGTTTTCTTATTTTGAAATTTTCAAAGTTTGTGTTTGTACCCTATGGTTTATATGTTGTTACATATTTGATGATATTTTGTATCCTTAGTACTATTATTGTTAGTGTTCCTATCCACATATAAGTCCCCTTCTGAAGAGCTTTAAGCTGCTATTATTTCTTTTATGGATAACATTGCTGTTTTCTTGATATTCTGTTATGTTTTTAAGTCTTAATTTATTCTCCCTTTTTTAAAAAATTTCAAGTAGAAAGGCAGATTGATGTGATGTTTTGCTTTTGTTATGGAATTATTTCTTTTAATTTTTTCTCAGCTCATTTCTTTAGAATTTAGTGACAAATCAAATTATTCCAGAAATTTTGTTTACTTTATTATAAATTGTTTTTAAAATTTATTGTGACTGCTTTTTGAATTTTCTTGACTTTAAAATTAAATATTTCAAAAATTAATATCTAGTGATTTTGTGTTTATGATTTGTGTCTTATTGTGCATTTGTGTTTCCATATGTAAACACTGTTTTCAGCTTTCAGTATAATCCATGACAGTATATTCCATGTGGCTTGTCTTTTTTGGATTCCTTTCTCAATGTTTTTGATTTTTTTTTTTTAAACTTAGTCTATCAGTTGATTTTACATTATTACCACTTTTTTATTTAATCCTGCTAAATTTTAGATTTGGTCAATAACATTAGTAATTCTTTGCTTTGATATATTAGTTTTGTTTTTCCTAATTTACAATAATATTTTTAGTCTTTATTTTGCATCAGTAGTCTCATGTTTATATAAATTTATTTTATTTCTATAATATTTTTGATCTTTTATTCATGTAAATCACCTATTTGTGAGTCTCTAGACTTTAGCTTATGGCTTCTGGTAGCAGTTTTTACTCTTTGTTTTGCAGTAATAATAATTGGTTTGCCTTTTTAAATTCTCATATTTGTGAAAGCTCATCATCTTAAAAAAATTAATTGACTTTTTGGTATATTTAGGTTTATAGAAAAATTAAGCAGAAAGTACAAAGAATTCTCATATCTTTCTTTACCACCCTCAGTTTCCACTCTTATTAACATCTTGCATTGATGTGGTACCTTTCTTACAATTGATGAAAAGCTCCTCTTTTAAAAAAATATTATATTAATTGCCAGGAAGTAATACTTTTTTGCCACCTTCCTATAAGTCTTACATAATTAATTTGAAAGTTTACAACTACAAGGTCAGACTAATTAACCAAGTAAAATGATTTTGTTTACTTTGAAACAGGGTTATTTAGGTGGCTTTACGAAAAATTTCGCTATCCATTTGCTC